CGCATGCTTCTGCACCTGGTAGGTGCTTTTCATGCGTCTGAACATGCTTTTCGCAATGGCTGGTAGCGCATCAGATGGGTACCCTGTCAAAGCCACGCACTCTAATTCAGAAAGCTTGTACCAGTGTAGTAGTAGCACCAGCCCCCATCAATGAACAGGAAAAAAATCCCCCCTCAATGCCCCCTGTACAAGGTTTGGGTGCGCTGAGTCACATGACAACAAAGCTTTCCCTGGACGTGGTTCATACGACCAACAGACATGTTCAGGTTCCAACATCAGGCTATATCCAAGAAGTCGATGCACGAATCTTGTGGTAGTTCACACGTCACAACAAGTGGCGCTAGACAATGGAAAAATGACTCGTACAGCATTAAGCATACAACGTTTCAAAGTTTGTATTATCTGTATCAAGCAGTACCAGAGAACCATCAACTAATCAACCCGTGGCGTTGTCGTTGCTGGCAAACACATACAGAACTAACATCAGCACCCTCGAAAGTTTGCAAGGTTAGGCACTAAACCCGTGCATTGTCTTACGATGCAGCACCTCACCTCATGGGACAACTCTGATCGCAAGGGAGCATCGGATTCCAACATACGTGACCACTGACAATTCACGAGTACACGTAAGAAATATCTGCCGAGCTCCCGGTCACCATATTGGTGTGATGTCACTTCACCGATCGAAAGCCATAATTTCTAATATTTTTTTCCACTCGTAGAGAATGTTTTCCGTAATGTGTTTTTTTTAGCAGCAAGACATCTGTCACCTCCGTGGTGCGTAAAACGCCTACGGTGCGCAGGGACGCCTCAGAATTTCTGGAATTTCGAGGAGTCCCGGGATTCAACAGTGGCTCTACGACAGGCTACATTGTCAATACTTAACTAGGAATATGAGCAATGTACCCATATTTTTATATTCAATTCAGTTCTTTATTCATCATTATTACAGAAGGTGCTCCCGGAGGAGTTACAGAACTGTCAGGGAGACCTGTCATTTGTCAACATCAATAGGTTGCATATAATGGCAATATGAATTAAAAAAGATAAAAAAGAGAAGTGAGTATATAATGAAGCAGGAAATATAAGAGCAATAATGGAAAGAACCAGCAAAAGATAAGCGTTTACATGAAACGTAATTTACGAACAAATAGCACAGAACTCATTATAAACAACAAAAAAATTGCAATCAGTATTTACACCGATGGATCGGTCTCGTAGGCAGCTGCATAGGTGATATTCTTATCTTGGCGTGATAAGTGACAATAAAGTTTATAGTGTCCCACAGCACGACATTACCGACATTACCAGCAGCAGAGCTCACTCAAAAGTGGGCTGTTTTATGAAACTTGTTACTTCAGAGTTCACAATCAGTGCTAAGACGAAGCGTGCACAAGCACTGGATAAACGTAATAAGAGAAATTGTTAAGCAAGTTTTATCGAAGGCACATGACGTTGTATTACAATGACTGCCGGGATATTGTGGCGTTGTGGGTAACGACACCGGTGATGCTGCTGCCGATCCTATCACGAGGACGCCCGCACAGCCACAATAACGTTTTTGAGACCAGTCGTGGCAATGCGCCTTCGATCGTCCGCTGACACAATGCCACAAACTTGGTTGAATGACCCCAGGGTCGGGAGTGTTCGCCTACATAAACTCGAACCACCCAGGAAGCTGCAAGTTCTATCGCGCTTCTCCCGCTGAGACGCAACTTTAATGCGCCACCTGTGGTTAGGAGCATAGTTCACGAAAGCGTACTCTTTACGCATAGGAATAGCAAACACCTTCAGATGTGGCTCGCGCAACAATGACGAAACGATAGCATGACAGAGCGTATACTGTGCTTCTGTGATCGTTTTGTAACCAAACGCCGCGTTTTGCAGAATACGCTTATAAACTAGACTACAGACTGTTTTCTGAAGATGGCATGCTGGGATTGTCACTGTACATGTCACAGGCCAGCAAAGCTACAGAAGCATTGCCACTGTTTTGGCAACGACTGGGTTAAGCGACCACTTGTATTGCAATGCCCACAGACTGTCACGCCACCTAGCGGAATTTGTGAACATCCTCTCAAGGATGGCCAGTAGCAGACGCTCCCTTGTCCTACAGTGCATTGCACTGTACTTGTTCGACTGTGCTAGCCTCAGTGCTAAAGCTTCAGCAAGAAACGAACACTAACAACTTTGCATGTTTGCTGCATCAGTGAACAAACTGGACCCTCCGTGAGCAGATAAATCCGATTCATTTTAGGGGCAAAGTCCCTCCTAGTCTAACCTTGTCATGCATCACGCGTGATCGAGAGAAGAAGAGACGAGAAAGAAAAGAAAGCTGGATTTCCCGAGCAATGTAATAGACATCGCTGTTTCATAGAAGTACATACAAACTGCAGTTGAGTGACACAGCTAGATATTCTAGATGGCACTGTAGCGCTACTCTCTGATTGGCTGCTGCGTGGGCTGTATCTGGGTACGCGGAGAACGAGTGCCTCTCTCGGTCCCCTGCATAGTCACCGTACGTGGCAGATCGTTGGTAGGACATAGACGAAGCCAAGCGGCGGGCGCGTTGAAGACGCTTGCACTCGGCTTGCTTGGCTCGCGTGTCGTCGGTGTTACACGTGCGCCATCTCCATTCGCGAACGCGATCGGACGTATAGATGCAAGCAGCACTGAAATAGCTTTCGACTGCACTAAGGAAACGTATTCTTACACCGTGACTGAGGGCGTTTATTTCGAAATGATTTAGTAACGGGAGCGTGAGTGCGGGATGAACGAGCCTTGTTAGCCGTATATTCATGTCCCTCAGTTTAGAGCTGTTTGAACACTCACGGGCATGAATTAAGAGCGATCCGCACAGTGCAACCACGGGTCCGCATATCGTGGAAGTTTCGTGGCGCAGCGAGTGTTCAGTGCTACTACCACGTGTGTCTCTTGCTGTACCCGTAGACACCCGATCAACAGATGCGGTGCGCGATGGCTTCGTCACGCGCAAATTCAATGCAATTTAGCTTGTCTTAGCAGCTAAATTCGTTGGGTAAAATGGGAACTGGTTGCACTCGTTATGGTCAATTGCAGAACTTCAATGTGCCTGTCACGGAACACCTTCTCTTCACATTCTCTCTCTCACCCACAGGTGGCGGGATCAAATCCCGGATGTGGCGGCTGCATTTCCGATGGAGGCGGAAATGTTGTAGGCCCGTGTATTGAGATTTGGGTGCACGCTAAAGAACCCCAGGTGGTCGAAATTTCCGGAGCCCTCCACTACGGCGTCTCTCATAATCATGTGGTGGTTTTGGGACGTTAAACCCCACAAATCAATCAATCTATCCTCTCTTTCTCTCACATCTCTATATTCCCTTGGCCCTTCCCCCATCGTACATGGTAGTCAGCCGGACTTGTGCTTGTCAACCTTTCTGCCTTCTCTCTTGATGTTCTTTCTCCTCTTCCTTCTTCCAAAGTTTAGCGCATTTGGGAAGCGACGGTCTGAGAACCAAGTTTGAGAAGCTATTAGCCTTTTTCAGTCAGTCTCAACATAGGTATAGCAGCAGCACGTGTTGTTATTCAAGTTTGAGAAGTTATTCGCCTTTTCAGTCGGTTTCAATTTAATTATAGCAGCAGCACGTGTTCTTACTAACGAAAGTTCCGGTCACTTCATTTGTTAAACTCTCACCGAAGCAGGAGTCTTGTGTTTTAAATTGTGCTAGAGTAAGGAAAGACCCTTTTTCCGCTTTCAGGTAAAATGAAGGTGCTGAAAGTTAAAGATGAACTCTTATAATGTTGTATCTAATTTTAAAAAAGTGCATTTGTAATATTCAATCAGACACAGAGAAAAAGCTTTTGAAAATGAAATGCCTATTTATGGACTACTCACGGCGTAAAGGGCCACTCACCAGGTTTGACAATTTTGAGCTGCCAAGCGCAATGTGTAGACGAGGCGTTCGTAATCAGGTGCGCCAAAATTTACAATGCTACGCGCCCCGGAAATGGGTCAAATTTCAAGATGAACACTGCTCCCCCTTCCTTTTGTGGGCGCGCGCCCAGAGAATGAGGGCATGACGTGCGCGTATGAATGGCCTTACGTGCACGGTAACACAGTGACGTTCGTCATATACGTAGACAGCTGTGCTCTGACGTTGTCAACAGTATACCACGTGACATGACTTAAATGATTTAACACGACATGTGTAGTTTGCGTAATTTGCTGTTTGAAGTGATATATTAAACTTCATATTAATAATGGGACGCAATAAGAAAATGTGCGCGTCTTTGTTTTATTTTTTCCCGAGAATTGCTACGAGATGCGGGACCAGTGTGCCGGCGTTTCGCATGCCTTCCGTGTCCCTGCGGTCAGCGCATCGAGCAGACGACAGCCATGGAAGCGAAAATAACGCTTTTACGCGCTCACGCACTCATTGTGCTCATACATTTCGCCACGTCTAAGCCAGCGTTTCCACACCATTCCCCGCAGAAACAGGCAATAGACCTCAAAAAAGACGCTGGTCAACAAAACAACGCCGCTTGCGTGGTCGGGGGTTCAGCTTGTTCGGGCACGTCATGCGCACGTGACCTTTTTGTTGGATGCCGAAGAGGGTAAGGGAGAGATTTGGCTTGCGAAGGCTACGAGGAGAAGTGGCAAGGGTTTCGAGCTCGCGTCTTCTCATCCTCGTTTCACACCGCTTCAAAAAACTGTTTTCTCAGCTTGCAATAAACCGATTCAAAAAATTTTTGTGGCAAAATATTTCTCATCGCACACCCAACAACCTCCACTGTCTAACTAAAATTTGGTATGGGGCCTGGTGAGTGGCCCTTTAAGGCTTCTGTTCCTCACCGATACCGCTATAGGCTACGCAGGCACACAGAAACGGAAGCCATCCAGCATCTGCGTTTGTAAACAGTGATATAATCTATAGCCTATACAAGACAGCAGCATCGGGACAGTTGAAGCCAACCTCGTTGATCAAAGCACCACTCTGCGAAAAAGAAAAAAAAAGACTTACCTGGTGCTTTTGACTGTCTGCGCTGGTGGTGCCTGGATAATCTGACTGGTTCGCAGCGTCCGCGGGGCGTTTGGGTCGAGCAGCAGCGCAGTCAGGTTGGAAAAGCTGAAGATTCGTCGGTCGTGCACCAGCAGGATACGTTGCACGTGCTTCAGCAAGTTTCCTTGACTGCTGACGAGGATTCGAGTCTGCAAAGAGTCAAAGGAAGAACTGGGCGCCGTGTTCGAAGTGGCATCGAAAGCCGGGCTAGTTCATACGTTAAACCGGTAGCCCGTCCTGTGCATTCTGTTCCTCCGTCTTCGTCGTTGGCAGTGCGCCGCGTCAAAAGCAGACAACACTTCGCTCATGTTGCCCACGTCTCTTCCTTTTGTGTCCGTATTTTTCGGCGCTAATATTTCAAAGTTATGCATGTTTTTTCAGTGGGCTTGGCAGCACCGTATGCAGGCGGTTGCTCATGAATTTCAACTTTTTCGTCCAGATCGCCCTGCTGCGGGTGAATTCCGTCGTTGGCCCGGCGGAACTCTTCCCACCGCAGGGAAACATCGTCGCGCCTGCGCTGGACAGCCCCGTCTACGAAGAACCATCACGGAAAGCAGCGCCTCAAGTGCCCCTCCCCTACCATGTGGTCAACCGAGTGACGTCAGCGGACACACTTGAGCTTCAGCATAAAACCCGGAGCCATCTTCAGCAGTCTTTCAGTGGGCTTGGCAGCACCGTATTCGGGCGGTTGCTGATGAATTTCTACTTTTTCGTCCAGGTGGTTGACAAACATTTTGTCTGCTCTATTAGAGACGATTCGCTCACTTTAGTAGTGCTGTCGGGCCCACAGAGTCTGCTTTCTTTATTGTGTGATTGTTTGCTTGTTCTTAGGCTACTGCTGTTAACATCAGGTGTAGTGGAGTTAAACCCTGGACCCCACTCAGACTCAGAGTCTGGTTCAGAAGCCACCTTAAACAGCCAGCTCCTCAAGAAAATTCTAAAGGAACAAACAAAGACCAATAAAGCGCTCACTGCTCTTTCCGAAAACTTACAACACGTAGAAACTACAGTAGGCAACATACACGAAAGATTAACCGCCATAGAAAAAGAGTTAGCTCGCCTACAGCAATTCGAAGATAAACTCGCCGAGCATGAGGTGATGACCGTAGAAACAAATAAACTGGTGCGAGGACTATCAGTTAAGGTAGAGGACTTGGAAAGCAGGAGCCACCGGAATAACATAATAATCTATGGCGTGGAAGAGGGTGATAATGAACAAAATGCAGATTTACAACAGCGGATTGTTAAGGGCATTTTTAAAGACATTCCCAAGGTGAATGTTACATCTGTAGAACGCATGCGCCGAATTGGCAGGAAAACACAAAATCGAGAGCGGCCAGTAATTCTTAAGCTGTACAATTTCTCTGAAAAAATGTTAGTCCTTCGTTATTGCGGCAAACTGAAGGGAACAGCGATATCGATATCCGAAGACTTTTCCGCACGAGTTCGGGACCTGCGCAAAAAACTATGGCAATCAGCAAAGGAAGATCGGGACAATGGGACTAAGGTCACTCTTGTATTTGATAAACTAAAGATAGATGACGACTTGTACGTATGGGATGAAGCAAAAAATGCAAGAGTTTCCTTGAGACGGGCACGTCACGATGGTCGCGCGAAAAGCAACGCGTGACACCCGCAAGCCGCCACACCGTTTTCATTGGTATGTTTGAATGCCCGTAGCATTGTTAACAAAACTGACAAGCTAGAAGAATTGTTATTTTCGTGCACTCCTGATATTGTCGTGATTACTGAAACGTGGCTGCACCCAGACATTCTTGATTTTGAAATTGTTCCTTCTTCATACTGCCTACTTCGGTCAGATCGTGACAGTCGCGGGGGCGGGGTCGCCATTGCAATAAAACGTGGTTTGCAATATCGTAGAGAAAAGGGTATCGCGAATCACGAAAGCGTTTGGTGCACAATTTTTGCTCACGATGCTCCAGTACTGATCGGTGGCATCTACAGAAAGCCAAATGCGTCTGATGATTCCCTTTTACAAGTGCATGACTATCTGGTTGATAAGGGTACCCCGCGTACCAAATTAATACTTACTGGAGATTTCAATCTCGCTATTGACTGGGAAAACTTAACAAGTACTAGAAATACCGCCAACAGCGAGCTATTATACAATTTAATGTTCAATTTTTCATTGTCCCAGTTGGTCCAGGAACCAACCCGAATTCAAGGAAACACTCGCTCCATACTAGACCTAGTTTTTCTTTCCGATAACCTATCCGGTAAAGCTACTGTAGAAGATGGAATTTCTGACCACAAAATGTGAATCATAACTTTTAACCTTGAATGCTTAAATACCGAACCCGATGGCACAAATTAACGGATAGCCATGAAAGACTACACCAGAGCTAATGATGTTTGTGTTATTGATTACCTCGACACAGCACTAGAGACTTTTTCTCTAGAGGAATGTGAGGGTGTTAATGGTATGTGGATTCAACTGGAAAAAATAGTTACGTACTGTGAACAAAATTTTATCCCAACGAAACTAAAACGCACAAAAAAGAAAAACACCACGGATCAATTGCCGTATTATTCACCTTAAAAGAAGGGTACAGAGAATGCGCAAGAAAAAGAGAAATCCAATCATCTTAAAGGAACATGCATCTCAGGTTAAGGCGGAAATTAGAAGTGCAAGACAAACTTTTTTTTTCACATACGTTATCTCACTTCATGACGGATCAGCCGCAAATATTTCGGCGTTTCTTGGCACGGCCTGAAAACCCAACAACTGAAGTAGAAATTAAGGGTACTATCGTAAAGGACGCGCAGGCCGTTTCCAATGCTTTCAATAGGTATTTTCAGTCGGTATTCACACTCGCATGCGCACCAAGCAGCCCTGTTGCTCCGGTGCATCCTTTTTTAATGCCCAGTGTCGTTGTCACTACAGAAGGTATTCTGAACCTGCTGTTGCAGATCGATGTTAAGAAATCAGTGGGTCCAGTCAATATTTCAAATGTATTCCTTCGACGCTACGCAGAGCAACTATGTCCCTTCCTTGAAGCAATTTTTAAAGCATCCCTGCTAACAGCTTCTCTACCTGCAGACTGGTTGTGTGCAAAGGTGATTCCAATTCATAAAGGCGGGAGCAAGCTGTCCATAGAAACATTCAGGCCTATCTCGCTAACTAGCTGCTGCTGTAAATTATTGGAACATGTAATCAACAAGGCAATAATTACTTAGTTAGAAGATAACAACTTATTGCACCCAAACCAATACGGATTCCGTAAAAACCTGTCTACCGTTACTCAACTCTTGGAAATAAAGCATGACTTCGTAACTACTATTAACTCACAATTGCAAACCGACTCCGTATTTATAGACTTCGTCAAAGCTTTTGATAAGGTGCCTCACAGTAAATTGATTGACAAACTTGTGTCTATTGGTATTAACAGTAACATAATAGCATGGATAAAAAAGTATCTATCAAATCGAAGCCAGTATGTAACCGTAAACAACACAGCCTCTGATTGATTGGAAGTTTTTTTGCGGAGTACCACAAAGTTCCGTTTTAGGACCCATCTTGTTCCTAATATATGTTAATGATATCTATATGTGCCTTGAGCCTAACGTTAAAATGAGATTATTCGCTGACGACTGCGTGATCTACACCACTATCCGCACAACTGATGACCAGTTTAGACTTAATACCCCACTAGCTAATATTGCATGTTGGTGCCTTGAGTGGGGAATGGAAATTAACGTGTCAAAAACAGCTTGCCTTAGCATAACTCGCAGAAAAACAATCCAGCATTTTAGTTACAATTTGGTCGGCACAAACATTGCAAGAAACGACGCTGTTAAGTACTTGGGCGTTACCTTTACAAGTAAACTGAAGTGGGATGCACCTATAAGCAGCACATACACAAAAGCCTATCACCAGCTAGTGTTCCTGCGTCGAAAACTTGCATTGGCGCCTTTTAATGTAAAACTGACAGCATATAAATCTCTCATAAGGCCGATCCTCGAGTACGCCAGCATTGTTTGGAACCCCCACCAAAAATATCTTTCCAACAAATTAGAAATCGTCCAAAGCAAGGCCCTTCGCTTTAGCTATTCTAAGTATTCGAGGCATTACAATGTCACTGAGCTGCGCAGGCGGGCATGCTTGCCGACCCTTGCAGCCCGTCGCCGTGTCTCTTCCTTACAGTTTATTTTTCTTTTGTATCACAACGGTTTAAACATAGATAAAGACAACTATATAAAGCCGCCTAACCATCACTCCCTTCGTATCAACCACAATGAGTGCATCAGACCATTCATGTCACGCTGTAACACTTTTAAATATTCATTCTTCCCGTCAGCAGTGGAAGAGTGGAACAAATTGCCACGTGAATGCGTTAATCTTTCCTCTGCAGATTCATTTGTTCGGAATGTAGAAAGCCTGTTTTATGAAGACTAAAAGCAACTGTTGTTTTTTTCATGTTTGTGAGCGCTTCCGAACACACTGATCACTGTACCCCCTGCTGATACCTCGATGTTTTGTGACCTGTCCATGATTTTGTACAATTGCTTTCATCGTTCAAGTTTTATTTTCACCATCATCTTGTGATTCTGTTTCTTCCGCTATGTGCAATATTGCCTGGTTTGTACGCGACTGTGTATATTTGCTCGCCCACCCTGTATGAGCCTGAGAAAGGCTTACAGTATTTAATAAGTAAATAAATAAATAAATAAATATATATATATATATATATATATAAATAAATAAATAAATAAATAAATAAATAAATAAATAAATAAATAAATAAATAAATAAATAAATGTACATCTACCCGTCCAACTCACCGCTCTCATCAGCGTTAAGCCTGTTTAACATGTGAGTGATCTTTCCCCAAGAGTACAGTGGCAGCAATCGCGCGAGCCCAAAAGGAGTCTTTAGAGCACCCACTAGACGCTGCGACGAGTATCGCCAGAGTTGGAAAAAATCCGCTCGCGGCGGACAGTCTGAACGAAGGAGCAGTGACGTAGTAGGCACGTGACGGCAGAGTCAAGGATCGCGCGTGAGCTGAGAGGAACTCGCTCCGACTAAAGTCCCTAGGTTTTTCTCTTTTACCCAAGTGGAGAAGTAGTGGAATATGGAGAAGTAGATGCGTCTACAGCGAGCAGCATCGCCATCGCCCAGCTCGTGCTTCGGTTTCCTGGTGTACCGGTCTCTGGACGGTCCTTCACGCTGCCTCGCCGCTGAGAATGATAACGCCCCCAACGACTAATAAGCCTCTTCAGAGGATGAACATGGCTGCCGAAAACAAGCGTTAGCCTATGAGGTTCGTCAATGGCGCTTCAATGCTTGTATGCACTTAAAAAATAAAAGGAAAAAAATCTAGGGACTTTATAGCTCCGACTCTTCGGGCAACGCACCTCATCAAAGCGGCCGGCACTGCTCAAAAGTGGCACATATGGAACGAACTCGCATTCGCGTGTCCTGCTGCCGCTCATCACCGCAACCACCGCCGCTCAGTCACTCGCACGTGAAACCAGCTTTACTTGTTCAACGGTCTCTCTTTGTGATGTATGAGCTATTCTAGCTTCATTAGATTGTGATGAATATTTCTAGCTGGCTGCAAATGGCCGCATTAGAGTTACGGCTCGTTAAATCTGCAACTCAAGGCAGGTACAGTGGAGTGGTAAAACGGAGCAACGCCCAGGCGGAGCCATTCGTTTAGCGCGTTGAACCGAGTGAATAGTGAGGATTAGACTTTCTGAAAATGGTACGCAGTGACCCTTTAAATAAACGAGACACCCTTTAGAGAACAATGAATTGAAGCTCCTTAGATTATTTCAATAGAGCGAGTTGTCTCACATCAACTTCATTTTAATGCGCAATCCTTAGATGCTTCAATTATAACTCGTTGTTGGGCTACTTGGTAATCACATACTATGTTTATTTTAGCCCTACAGAAGACGAACACACTAAAAGACAGGCAAGCTCTACTAAGAACTGGTTTATTGCAAAGGTTGACATAAAATATAGGCGCAATGGTGCTCAGACACGGCGAGCATATATCATGGCAACACCACTTATCAGGCTACGGGCGTGTGTTTGAAGTCCAATGTTCGAAGTAACTGTGTTAGTGACACGTCTATTTGCTTGTACAAGAAAGAAATTGGGCTTTTTCATATTACACACACGTAGCCTGATAAGTGGTGCCACCGTGATATGCGCTCGCTGCGTCTGCGCACCACTGTGCTTATATTTCATTACAACCTTCGCAACAAACCAGTCATTAGTAGTGCGTGTAATCCACAAATGTAATGCACAAAGCGTCATGTGAGTCTTTCTATTCAACAGTAGCACGATTTCGTTGCGAATACCAACCTTTCTGCGGAGCAGTCCCTGCGCTCCCATGACCTGCTTGAACACCCTCGATGCCACCTGGGCGTCGAGCCCGCTGAGGGGGTCGTCGAACAGGTACACGTCCGAGTCGCTGTACACGGCCCTGGCGAGGGCCACACGTTGCCGCTGGCCGCCGCTTAGTGTTGTGCCCTGCAAATCAGGCACGTTGAACTAAAGTGCCCGTGATGAGGCAGCAGTTAGCAAAAAGCAACTACGCGTCGTACTACGGACTTTTATTGCAGCTGAGCTTGCGCTAGGGTGGATCCGAAAATAAGGATGCATGAGGGGTATACTCTTTAGGCTTGTGCAGCACTATTTTATCTGAAGTATATAAATAGAGGCGCAAACACCGAACCTTCCACGTTTGTACGGTATTGAACCATGAACATCTGAGGTATTTGAGTTCAAAGGCGTCGAATATTTCGGGTGCGTAAGATATCGTATGCTCGTCCTTAAATGTAAACAGGGACTGGAACCCTGAACTTTCCGAGCGCGCATGTAATGTTTAACACACTAAAACGCACAGAAACATACACACCGTCTTAAACGTGTGACGCAGTGACAAACAACACAAACTATAAAACAACACGCTTCATAGTCGTGAAGATGAAAAGGCGCATAAGAAATGCATAACCTGTCTTCACAATGGGTATCAAGTAAGGGCCTCAGTAAAAGAGGTGTGGGGTGGGGGGAGATGTGAAGCTCTTCGAGAAGTATTTGTGCTTTTTTTTTCTCACACCACACATTGTTCAGCCTAATCCTAGAGATTCACAACAAGAAGAGTCGTACAACTGCAAAGCACGCTTTACAGGCACACAAAACTACATAGCAGTTTTTTTTTTCTCCAGAACGTCACATTTACGCGATTGAAACCACGCGAACAGACGTCACGTGTGGGCCACGCGGACTGACCTTCTCTCCCACTTCGGTGAGGTCACCCGCCGGGAAAGAGGAGAGGTCGGCCTGCAGCTCGCAAGCCTTCAGCACGGTCAGGTAGCGCAGCGGCTCCAGCCTGTTGCCGAACAGGATGTTGTCCCGCACGCTCATATTGTAGATGCTCGGCGTCTGAGAGGCGTACGCGACCTTACCCTGCAAAGGTTGGCCACACAATTACGCATGCACTACAGCGCTTACAACGTGTATCGGTACGCCTTTCCCAGCTGTAGTCGACATCGTTACATTGTAGCGAGGGCGAAAAACGGAGATTCCATTCGCAAGGCCCTTTGAGGACCGTTGGAGGAGGGTGGCAGGAGGCTCACCACGTGCCAATACACCGGAATTCAGGTCTGTAAAATGTTAACTGCTGTTATTTTCTATATTGCCCAGAACGACACTACAAAAATATATTTTTGGAGCCCACAACACCGCGGATCAAAGCTTGCCATGAACAGATAACTGGGCGTCCGTACGATGTCAAAACAGTGCCGTGAGGCCTCTGACCACAAGTGCAATGTTACGTACACCAACTCACGCAACATAAAGTTGTCTTATAACTAAGCGACCGTGATTAAAGTTATTTATGTCGGTTTCATTTCCTCGCTCACCTTCACCACCCTTTTCCACAGCGAAGATGGGTAGGTGTAGCTCGTCTTCGTGACAACGCTCATGCCAGCAGCGCAAAATGACATCACGACTGCGTCATCGGTGCGCATCCAATGATTGAACCAGGCCTGTTCCACGTGTCCCTCGTGTCAGAGTGGCGCGGTGCCGAAGCGTGATGCGAGAAAGCGGCGAAGTAAACAAAGTTGCGGCACGCGCGACAACTGCGAGGCCAAATCATCATAACGTACCGCAGGGCCAAGGCACTGTTTCGTAATGTAAAGAAGAGAGAGAAGGCTTTTTAGTGAAAACCAGAGTACGAATTCACTAAATCATTGCTACGTAATGTTGCCCATGGGCAACACTACAATACTTTGCGACGAAAAGTACTGGACAATCACTGGAGAGGGGCGTTGGAATTGCTTTCAATATGAAGTGGCGGCATGGCCCACAGTCGCTGTGAAATTTGCGAGGTTTGATCAACGCTTTCTGGTGTACGAAGTAAAACTCATTAAAAAAGTGTAAAAAAGAGTCAGAGCCTGTTTACACTTCCATTATTACATTACGGAAGGGAGAGCTGATTTCTGAGTTTCAAACGGGACCTATATGTTTTCACAAGAGAGCTGCCGTATTTACACTATTGTAGGTCAAGTTTATACACATTTGAGATTCGAAGTAGAGGCTCCGCATAAAACCGCGAGCGAAACAAACACAAAATCAGGCACACTGTAGCATGCTAACAGAAATATATTTGCGTTTAGGCACTGCGTGTAACATAAGTCGTGTGCATAACCAGCAGCCTCAGTAAATATTAGCGAAAACTTTCTAAAAATACTCCCCGAGTGTTGCCGTGAACCTAACTTTCTTGCACAACTTCAAAACACTGCTATGAAACCACGTTTACACACCGGAATGAGTTTCACCGTCATTGTAAATATAAATTTTCTTTGTGAAATGCACTCGCAATTCGTTTTTAATTTGACGAATAATTTTGGGAAGGTGTATTTAGATTCAAGTCTATATATTGCCACGTTTCATTTCACAAGTTTTTGTTATCGTCCCAAAACACCACACCATTCTCAGCGCGAACCGCGCCTGCAGTTTTCGAGAAGGTTCCGGACTGTAGTAGATCATTTCGATAAGATCACGCCCACTGTGCGAACGGTATAGATTCTTCTGGAACCTACGCCGCCGCCAGCGATAACGCTAGAACATTCGACGGCAAGAGTATAAATGCCGACGCGCTTCGCCGCTTCTCAGTTGTTGATCGAAGGCCGACGCTCCGTTCGCCGCTATCAGTCCGAGACTGCTATCTGTGCGAGACTGCTGCTGTAATTGGACTTTCTGTTTACCGGGCACAGGTTCGCCCAAATAAACAGTTAAATACCAACAAGAAGTCTCCTGTCTTCGGCCACGTCACGACCCCGTGACATTTGGTGGAGGTGCTGCTTCGTTCATGTACCGGACGACCCCGTCAAGCCGTGAACCCAGCCCACGTCGCGGAGAAGACACCGACGCCAACCAGGAGCAGCGAACAAGCCGCCGAAAGCAAGGGCTACCACCGGAGTATGGGCTTCTAGAAGACAAGGCGCGGAAGACCAAGGCCATGACCGCGACTGCAGCGACAATGACAACCGCCGCATCCCAGCCCACGATGGTCATGCATCAACCCAGGAAACCATTAATTTTCCATGGGTCATCATTCGAAGACTCGGAGTCCTGGCTAGAAACATACGACCGTGTGGCCGCCCTCAACCACTGGGACAACGAAGAAAAGCTCCGTCGTGTGTACTTCTACCTGGAAGACACCGCAAGGACCTGGCTAGAGAATCGTGAGTCCACGCTCCGAACGTGGGATGTCTTCTGCGGCGCATTTCTGCAAACGTTCGCGAGCGTCGCTCGCAAAGAAAGGGCCGCTGCTCAACAAGAGACCCGGGTTCAGCTACCAATTGAGAAGGTTGGAATTTTCACAGAGGAGATGACCCGCCTATTTCGTCACGCTGACCCAGACATGTCTGAAGAGAAGAAAGTTCGTTTTCTCATGCGAGGGGTCAGACAGGAGCTCTTCGCCGGACTAATGAGGAATCCATCGAACACCGTCCAAGAATTTGTATCCGAGGCGACCACCATCGAAAAAACCCTTGACATGCGCACCAGACAGTATAAGCGTCGCCTGACTCCAGAATGCGCTGCTGCTCAAACCAGTGACTCCGACAACCTGCGTGAACCGATCCGAGTGATCGTGCGGGAAGAGCTGCGCAAACTGTTGCCTTCGGCGCACCCTCAAGTGGATTCGATCGCCGACATTGTGCGAGAAGAAGTTCGGCAACCACTTCGAATTCCCCAAACACCGCTGCCCGAGCCAGAAACTATGAGCTACGCCGCTGCAGTGCACCATAACGCTCCTCCCCGTCCACGCCAAAACGCCGCCCCGTCGCACTTCCGTCGCCGGACACCACCGCCGCCCCCACCCCCACCAACGACCTACCGTTCACCAGCGGGCCAGCGCAGTGCACCGTGGAAAACCGACGTTTGGCGCACCCCTGACCACCGCCCACTGTGCTGCCACTGCGGTGAGGCGGAGCACACCTACCACCGTTGCCAGTACCGACAGATGGGACTGCGTGGCTTCGCCCTCGATGCACCACGTCCGCAGCCAGGGGAACGGCCACGTGACATCGCCGACTACCTGACAGGAACTCAATGGACACCCAGAAGTCCTTCCCGTTCGCCGTCGCCCAGCCGCCGCATTTCACCACACCCCCGGCAGTACTCCGGCCCAACGCGGGGCCGGTCTCCTAGCCCGTATCCGGGAAACTAAGGGCAGCAACCGGTGGAGGTGCGGTTGCTGTGCGACGAACTACCGAAGATCCTCCGACAACGACGACGCCGCGACGGAGCTTTCCGAACCCAATGCCAACCAGCCAAAGCCCTGACGGCGAAAGCTCACTTACCGGAGGTGGCCTGACGACGCAACATGGAAGCAGCGGATCAAGCCGACGCAGCCGTGACCCGACGCCACGCCCTGACTGTAATGCGAGACGGCGAACTAGCGACATCGACGTTCTTATTGACGGGCACAGTGTGACCACTCTCGTCGATACTGGAGCCGACTATTCTGTCATCAGTGGGTCGCTCGCCGCGAAGTTAAAGAAAGTTAGGACAGCTTGGAAAGGCCCTGAAATCCGCACAGCCGGAGGTCATCTTGTAACGCCTGCAGGAATCTGCACAGCGAGAGTCACCATTAATGGCCGTATTTATCCTACAGACTTCGTAGTCCTACAGCGTTGCTCGAGAGATGTCATCCTTGGCATGGACTTCTTATGCCTCCATGGTGCTGTCATCAACCTAAAAACAAAGTCGATAACGTTATCCACAGAAGAAGCACTACCACCGCGCACGCCGTCAGGACACCATGCCTTGAATGTGCTGGAAGAACAAGTCACCATTCCGCCTCGCTCAAGCGTCATTATTTCCGTCGGCGCTCCTAAATCACCTGACTTGGAAGGCGTCGTTGAAGGCAGTCAGCATCTGTTGGTCACCCGAAATATTTGCGTCGCAAGAGGAATTGCAGAGCTGCGGGGAGGCAAAGCAACGGTTATGCTCACGAATTTCAGCAATGAGTACAAACATATGAACAAAGGAACAACGGTCGCATACATCGAAGAAATTGTCGAAGCCACCAGTGCTTTCGCCCTCGCCGATTCTGTTGAACCTGCTCAGAGGAACCAAGCCCCTCCCATAGCTTTCGACGTCCATCCCAGACTACCGAACGATAAGCAAGAACAGCTCAAGGCCCTGCTTCTGCAATACGAAGATTGCTTTTCGTCATCATCGAAAATTCGGCAGACTTCAATCACGAAACATCGCATCATAACCGAAGAAAACGCCAGACCACTCCGTCAGAGTCCGTACAAGGTTGCGAAGCGAGAACGTGAGGCCATGAAGAAACAAGTTGATGAAATGCTGCGGGATGACATTATCCAGCCGTCCAAGAGTCCATGGGCATCCCCCGTGGTGTTAGTGAAGAAAAAGAATGGGACCCTACGTTTCTGCGTCGATTATCGCCGCCTGAACAAAATCACAAGAAAGGACGTGTATCCTCTCCCACGAATAGACGACGCACTTGATCGGCTTCATAACGCCAAGTACTTTTCGTCAATGGACCTCAAGACTGGCTATTGGCAAATCGAAGTCGACGAAAGAGACCGAGAGAAGACGGCGTTTATAACACCGGACGGCCTCTTCGAGTTTAAGGTGAAGCCCTTCGGCCTTTGCTCAGCGCCTGCAACTTTTCAACGCGTTATGGATACAGTACTGGCAGGATTGAAATGGCAAACTTGCCTTGTGTACTTGGACGACGTCGTCATGTTTTCTTCGAGTTTCGACGAGCATCTTCGGCGCCTTGAAGCTGTACTTCAAGCCATCAAGACGTCCGGACTCACACTGAAGCCAGAAAAGTGTAGATTTGCGTATGAGGAGCTCTTGTTCCTGGGACACGTTATCAGCAAGTCTGGAGTTCGTCCTGATCCACGGAAAACAGCCGCCATCGCCGACTTCCCGCCGCCCACTGACAAGAAGGCCGTGCGCCGATTTCTGGGCCTGTGCGCCTATTATAGGCGGTTCGTGAAAAACTTCGCCCGCATCGCCGATCCTCTCACTAACCTTACCAAGGCCGACGTAGAATTCAAGTGGGAAACGCCACAGGAACACGCTTTCCAGGAGCTTAAACATCGCCTCCAGACGCCTCCGTTACTTGCCCATTTCGACGAATTCGCCGAGACAGAAATACATACTGACGCAAGCAGCGTAGGTCTTGGCGCCGTTCTTGCGCAGAGGGATGACGGACTTGAAAGGGTTATTAGTTACGCCAGCTGATCGCTATCCAAAGCAGAAGCAAATTATTCCACAACAGAAAAGGAGTGCCTCGCCATCATCTGGGCTACGTCGAAGTTTCGCCCCTACCTCTACGGCAGGCCCTTCAATGTTGTGAGCGACCACCACGCCTTGTGTTGGCTAGCCACCTTGAAGGACCCTTCAGGTCGCCTCGCACGATGGAGCCTGAGACTTCAAGAGTTTGACATTACTGTCATTTACAAGTCCGGCAAAAAACACTCTGACGCCGACTGTCTCTCTCGTGCGCCTGTCGACCAGCCGCTAACCGACGACCCGGATGACGAGTACTTCTTGGGAACGATAACTACCGACGACTTCGCTGAACGACAGCGGGCCGACCCGGAACTTAAGGCCCTAATAGAATACCTCGAAGGCAGGACCGCCGAAGTCCCGAAGGTATTCAAGCGCGCACTTGCGTCGTTCTTTCTACGAAACGGTCTCCTACAAAAGAAAAACTTTTCACCGCTTCGAGCTAAGTACCTCCTTGTGGTGCCTTCAGCTCTGCGACCAGAACTCCTGCAGGCCCTGCACGACGATCCGATGGCAGGGCACCTCGGTGTTTCTCGCACGCTCACGAGGATACAAGAAAGGTACTACTGGCCACGTCTTACCACCGACGTCACTCGTTATGTGAGGACATGCCGGGACTGTCAGCGACGCAAGACACCGCCGACAAGGCCAGCGGGACTTCTGCAGCCAATTGATCCACCTTGCCGACCTTTCCAGCAGATTGGTATGGACCTACTGGGGCCGTTCCCGACGTCGGCTTTCGGAAACAAGTGGATCGTGGTAGCTACCGACTACCTCACCCGCTACGCCGAGACAAAAGCCCTGCCAAAAGGCAGTGCATCCGAGGTAGCTAAGTTCTTCGACGAAAATATCGTCCTACGTCATGGCGCCCCGGAGGTCCTTATCACCGACAGAGGAACGGCATTCACTGCCGACTTAACTCAAGCGATCTTGGCATACAGCCAAACAAACCACCGCCGGATGACAGCGTACCACCCACAGACCAACGGCCTCACCGAGCAGCTTAACAAGACGATCGCCGACATGCTGTCAATGTACGTCGATGTCGAACACAAGACGTGGGACGCTATTCTTCCGTATGTGACCTTCGCATACAACACGGCGGTGCAGGAGACGACGCAGATATCTCCATACAAACTGGTCTACGGAAGGAGCCCGGCAACGACGCTCGATGCCATGTTACCCAACGTCACCGACGAGGAAAACCTCGATGTGAGCGAGTACCTTCAACGTGCCGAAGAAGCCCGACAACTTGCGCGTCTCCGTATCAGGAATCAACAGACGACCGACAGCCACCGTTACAACCTTCGACGACGTTTCGTGGAATACCAGCCTGGTGAACGTGTTTGGGTGTGGATGCCGATACGCCGACGTGGACTAAGTGAAAAGCTTCTGCGATGGTACTTGGGACCGTACAGGGTGGTTCGACGTTTCGGCCCACTTGATTACGAGGTTGTCGCCGACGGCATCACGAACTCTCAACGACGCCGATCGCGACCTGAAGTCGTACATGTCACGCGCCTCACGCCGTTTCATGCGCGTTAACAAATTGAAACAGTGTTTTTTTGTATTATAGTTGTATCGTAATTTATTCATTGTACTTTCTAGCATTATTATTGTACCTTTATCTTTAGTTAAAGCATCGGGACGATGCCTTTTTTTCAGTGGGGGGCAATGCCACGTTCCATTTCCCAAGCTTTTGTTATCGTCCCAAAACACCACACCATTCTCAGCGCGAACCGCGCCTGCAGTTTTCGAGAAGGTTCCGGACTGTAGTAGATCATTTCGATAAGATCACGCCCACTGTGCCAACGGTACAGATTGTTCTGGAACCTACGCCACCGCCAGCGATAAAGCTAGAACATTCGACGCCAAGAGTATAAATGCCGACGCGCTTCGCCGCTTGTCAGTTGTTGATCGAAGGCCGACGCTCCGTTCGCCGCTATCAGTCCAAGGCTGCTATCTGTGCGAGACTGCTGCTGTAATTGGACTTTCCGTTTACCGGGCACAGGTTCGCCCAAATAAACAGGTAAATCCCAACACGAAGTCTCCTGTCTTCGGCCACGTCACGACCCCGTGACAATATATTCACGTAAATACGGTATACGACTAATGTCACATGCAAGAACAAAATTTGCGAGACTGCAACTTTTTTTCTTGCATAGCATGTTTAAAACTACAAAACACTTCGAACTTCAAGGTGCGGCCCCCTGACCTGCTGAAATAGCCCCTGTGCGGTTCAAGTACATGTACAAATACAGTTTGAATCATAAAAGTAAATGTTCAGCATAACCAAAAAAAATTATCCTCACGCCAACGTCGAGCCAACCGCGGGTTCTTATCATGTCTCCCAAGATAGCGGCCAGCAGCGAGGACTTGCCGGAGCCCACGAATCCGACCACGCCCACGAGAGAGCCCGGCTCGATCTCCACCGAGACGCCGTGGAGGCTGAATCCCTGCTTGTCCGGGTCCCAGCTGAAGTCACACTTCTCGATGAACACCTCACCTGTTAAGCAATGGAGTGTCAGTGATTCATTGATTTGGGGTGTTTAACGTCCCAAAACCAGCATATGATTAGGAGAGACGCCATAGTGGAGGGCTCAGGTACGTTTGACGACCTGGGGCTTACATCATTTTCGCCTTCATCGAAAATGCAGCCGCCGCAGTCGGGATTGGATCCCACGGCCTGCGGGTGAGGAGCCGAGTACCTTAGCAACTAGACCACCACGGCGGGGCCAATGAAGTGTCCGTAAATGCCCGCTACATGGAAGCGAATATTATAGCTATTGTTCTGCAAATATATTCATATTTCACATAATTTTACTGATGGACCACTGCCTGATCTTTTTTTTAATTATGCGCGTTCTTTATTGACCACCATGACACCAATCTTGTTGGGGGTATGAGTCAGTTATTGAGGTAATACCAACGTTATCAACTTTAGTTGACAGTGTTGAACGATTAGTAATAAGGGAGTAATAAAAGCAAGCGCAAAGACAAACCTCACAATAACCATTATGAACGACGAGAAGAAACAGAACCCAGAGACTTGTTTTCAGGTTATCCAAATCGTAACGCAGGCAAGCGACTGCGAGAACCCCGCCAGAACGCTTATTTCGGCCGCTTTTCACTTGTTCGCAGATAACGGAAAACATCGCAATACACACGGCAACAAGAAACGAATTTTCTATGAGAACCCAACCTCACCGCCCTCTCCCCTTCCCCCCAAAAAGTCATGCGACAAATTTATGCAATAAAGCTAAAGAGCGTGGAAAGCTGAAAAGAGTAAAGTCAATCAATTTCGGTCTAGTTGGCGGTAGAACATGTTTTCCGTACTTTGGTTAGCAGCGTTTTATTTATTGGAAAGTTTTGCAAGCCATAAAGTAATTTTTGATTATCATGAACGTCGGTGTAATTATTATTTCGGTGCCCCGGCACGGTGGTCAAGTGGCTAAGGTACTTGTCTGCTGACACGCAGGTCGCGGGTTCGAATCCTGGTGGCAGCGACTGCATTTTTGATGGAGGCGGAAATGTTGTAGGCCCATGTGCTCAGATTTGGGTGCACGTGAAAGAACTCCAGGTGGTCTGAATTTCTGGAGCCCTCCACTAAGACATCTGTCATAATCATATGGTGGTTTTTGGACGTTAAAACCCACATATCAATCAATTATTCAAATAATCAATCAATCAATCAATCAATTATTTCGGCATGTTCTCGTGGATATCTCGTGAATATCTCGTGAAGTTCTCGTGAATATCCAAGGCTTAGAGACTTTGGGTGGGCACAAGTGGTCATTTTCGTCATTGCTCTGCGACATCCTACTGCGTGCTCTTCCACGGGATATAGTCGTGCAGTATCATCGATCATGTGCCGTCCAGTTGGCATATGACTCGAGAGCTGAAGCTACACCCGTGGTACTGGACCGTGTGCTCAACTTTCTGTGTATCCAGCTGGAAAGCCTGGAGAAGAGTGATCTTAAGGATGCCAAAGGACGAGAACATGGAAAACTCCCCGTGGCCAGTCAGTCGTCGTACTCTCGGCGTGGGAAACCGACGTCATCTGTGCTTCACAGCAACTCGGTACGAGAAAAAAAGGACAACTGCGTATTCTGCTCGTCCAGCCATCACGGATCGGAAGCCTGCACAGCTGACTTGTCACTGACGCAGAAGAAGTAACTGCTTTCCAACGACAAAAGGTGTTTCCGCTGCACCACCAAAAGACATCGGGCACGGGACTGCAAAAAGAGAATTTCCTGCTCCAGATGCCAAGCTCGACACGCTACAAGCATGTGCGATCCTGATAGGCGTTCGCGAAAGTCAGACTACGCTAACAAGAACTACGAAAAAACTACGACAGTCTGTGCATCACTTGGAAGAAGACCCGTCAAGGAGGACTCTACCACTTCCGTTTTTCTTCAGACTTTCAGAGCATGGGCCATGAATGATTACACCTGCCGCTACATACGAGGCGTTTTCGATGGTGGCAGTCAGAGGACTTTCGTAACTGAAGATCTGTCCAAGCACCTCAAGCTGAAAAGCGTGGGAGCAACTCGAATAGCCTTCAATATTTTCGCAAATACATCGGACCAAGAGGCTAAGAGGCGTCGCCTAGTAGAACTATTACTGCGAAGCCAGTTTTCCGACGCGGAAATAGTCTTAACTGCAATAGAGATCCCAAGCATCTGCCAAGACATCGCAGAGACTGCAATGGACGTGGCCTTCGTTGCGTCTTTCAAGAAGCTGGGAAACGATGTTGCCGATGAGCTCCAACATCCATCTATCATAACTAAGAGTGGTATCAGCGTACTTATCGGGTCCGATCAGATGTGGAAAGTGTTGACCGGCGAAGTTTCACGGTGCGAAGGCAACGAATCATTGATCGCACTGAACTCCAAGCTTGGATGGACCTTCCAGGGAAGCACATCGCACTTGGTGTCCCGCCCAACTACTTCACAAACGATCGTGTGCGTGCTAAAAGCCCAAGCTACCGATTCCGACGAGATTTTGCGCTCCTTTTGGGAACTTGAAAACATAGGAATTACGGACACGATAAACAAGCCACCTGAAGTGAGCAACACCATGAGGCATTTTGAGCAAACGATTAGCTTTATAAACGAAAGATATGAAGTGACCCTCCCTTGGAAGGATAATTTCGAGCTTGCAAACAACAGGCAAGTAGGCGTTACTCGACTGGACAAGCTTGTCAACCGTCTCAACTCCAGAAAAGGACTGCTCGAAACGTATGACCGTACCATAAGGGAGTACTTGAGGGCAGGACACGCTGAAGTAGTCAGTGACGTACCTGCAGAGGTGACGAAATTATATTACATGCCGCACAAGGAAGTCATGCGTGAACAAGCACTGACGACGAAAATGAGAGTGGTGTTTGACGCTTCTTCACATGCCAAAGGATGCAAGTCCCTTAATGACTGCCTTCAAAAGGGTGACAACTTATACCAAGACCTCGCGCAAATTCTGCTACGCTTCAGAACGCACCCGGTGGCAGTTATCGCGGACACAGAAAAGGCATTCCTTCAATTTGCGATTTGGGAGGGCGACAGAGACGCTTTCCGCTTTCTCTGGTTTGCAGAAGATTTATCCAAGGGCAAGCTGCAAGAGTGGAGGATGACACGAGTGCCTTTTGGAGCCACAAGTAGCCCATTTTTGCTCACAGCTACTATTCTCTACCTCGTGAAAAGAGCACCGGCTGTCGTGGCAACAGAAATCCTGAACGCTGAACAGTATTGGATAAGATATACACAAGAGCAAGGCTTTCTTGAAGAACTCACCACTTTGACCAACGGCCAACCAGTCGAGTCTACATCTCGAATCGCTGAATTACGCCCTTACATAGACAAAGACGGAATTCTTCGGGTTGGAGGCCGTTTATCCCTCATGCATTCCACACAAGATGTCAAGCACCCAAACATAATGCCGTCAAGTCACCACTTTTTGACACTTTTGGCAAACAGAGCCCATCTTCAAGTCTTACATGGAGGAGTTAGAGATACACTTACGCAGCTTCGGGAACGCTACTGGATTTGTCGAGCTCGCTCTTTGGTAAAAAGAGTGCTGCATGGCTGCAATATATGCAAGCGCTTCAGTGCGGGCCCAGGAACTGCTGAGACTGCTCCGTTAACAAGCCATCGAGTGACACCAACGAACCCGTTCGAAGTTGTAGGAGTCGACTTCGCGGGCCCTCTGTATGCACGCACGGAGAAAGGGGACACGAAGTGCTACGTTGCACTTTTTACGTGCGCCGTATCTAGAGCCGTGCATCTCTAGCTTGTCTCGGAAATGACATCCGAGGCTTTCCTGCTGTGCCAACGACGATTTTCAGCTCGGAGAGGATTACCTAGGGTGATCTATTCTGACAATGCACGAAGCTTTCACAAGACATCGGCAGACATAAAGCGGCTAAACCGAATGTTCTCTGAAGAGGACGTCGCTGGTCACCTCAGCAACAACGGCATTTTGTGGAAGTTTATAGCACCAAATGCTCCTTGGTGGGGTGGACGGTGGGAGCGCCTTGTACGATCAGTGAAGCTTCCGCTGCGAAAAATTATCGGCAAAGCTCGTCTGAACAACGAAAAAATATCGACAGTGCTGGCGGAGGTCGAAGCAGTCGTAAACTCTAGGCCTCTGACTTTCATCGAGACAGATGCAGGAGGAGAACCTTGCACTTTGACACCAGCCGAACTTCTCCTTGGGCGAAGATTGACTTCCATACCGTATGCGACCGCTGACGAAGTCAACAGTAATTCCAAACGATCAGACGCCATACGCAGACACAACTACAGGAAGCTGCTGGTTGAAAGCTTTTGGAAGCGTTGGCAAAAAGAATACCTGTTACAATTACGATCTGCACACTTTGCCGACAAGAAATCAAATACAGCATTGAAGCAAGGGGACATCATTCTCGTGCATGCGGACAACACTCCACGCCAGCTATGGAAGCTTGCAAGGGTCACGGAAGTGTACCGCAGTGCAGACGGTCTCATTCGTTCTTGCATGATCAAGTTGCAAGGCGGTCACCTTGCGATCAGGCCGATACAAAGACATCCCCCTTGAACTATGTGTTTAACTTTGCGCGGCCGGGAGTGTTGATTATTTTTCACGTTCTGGGCTGGGACAAGAAAACGAGAAAGAAGAAGAGCGCGAGAGAGGGACGCGGGGACGCTCAAGTGACAGCAGAGCGCTTCCGAACGCAGTTAAATAAACAAGTATTTTTGCCTTATACCTTAAAGACGGAGTTGAGTCTGATCGCAGTGTCTGGAACGCCATCGTCTAAACAACCCAATTCTACAAAACCCCTTTTGATTTCCTACGTATTCTAAGAATCAGCTTTTTCAGTCACACAAAACTTTGAACTGAAAATTTCAGTTGAAGGAACTTCGTCAGTGCACTTGGCCTCATTTTCAAAATAAGTTCAACGCAGTTTTGAGCTGTGCAGCGCTGAAAGAGGCGAATTGAAATCCTGAAATCTGGCCAAGGCTGCAGGATACCTTGGTATGTTTGGGAGATTTTATGTCGGAGTAGAAAATTTCGCCAGTGAGAGTTAGTAAAGGCATACAGTCCCTTGAGAGCCTCGCTTCTTGAACTCTGAATGCGCGCGAGAAAATGCAAATACCAGATTTTTATCAAAATGATATAAACAGCAGCGCAGCAGTTACTCATGTCGTACGTAAGTGTGTACATAACTTCATAAACACTGTTGATTTCATGTTCAGTTGTCTCCTATACTGTTTGTTGTTCTTTGAGATAATTACCACAGTGAACTTTTCAGTAGAAGTGAACTAGTTTATTGGGTAGTTTACTGTAATGTTTTGACACGTAGTAAATACACGGGCTTCTAGCAATCTTGTCCTTCTATTTTTGAAGTTGAATCATATGTCTGAAATGTTTGGTGGAATTCGTGGGCTACTATTACGACAATTGCTCGCCGAACCTCTGGTAAACATTTCTCCATACATGTCTATTGAGCATTTGGGCACTTCCAGTATACATTGGTAATATAATGCTTAAAATGCGGGAACAAAATATTTATCTTTATAAATGGTTTTCAACATGGTTCTATAAATATAAGGCCACAGAATCACTCACCTTTGGTGGCACTAGTCTCTAGGAAGCAAGGTGGCCTGTCCTGGTGTTCCTCTTCACTAAAGAAAGCGCAGTACCGGAGCATCGCCAAACCTACCTGCATGATATCAACAACGCATGGATGAACTTAATCAAAACACAAAAATGAACTTCGCTGCTCAGTACTTCAAGTAAGTGCGAAATATAGAGAAAAATATAACGGTTGCCATGCACACAAGTTCATGCTATTCTTCACAGGCAGCTGCTCTAGAAAGCTGCCTCTTACGTTTAAACGAGATAAAAGAAGTCTACTTAAGCAAATGAGAATGTAAAAAAAACATTTAGGCATTACTCAGGCCAGCAGCGTGAAACGGCAGTAGTGTATCCGCACGGTCCAGTACGACAAAGTGACACGGACACGGTGCCTGTGAAAGCCGGAATTTATCGGCGAAATCAGAGACACCTGCCTTCAGGTATGCAGTAGCGTTTACCTGACCTAAATAAAATGTACTAAGTTGAAAGCATCAACGCTGAACAACAGCACACATATTCTCAAATCTCGACAAGAATGCGTCCTACAACTTTCCTCGAGTAACTGTAGACTAAATAGCTTGCAAAAGAGCGTGGAAACGGAGTCGAGTTCTGATGATCTGAACACTACGATGGACAGACAGTGCACGGGCTCTGACACATAAGGTGAATGCGTGCGTAATGTTAAATTGTTTTGAAGAAACGGTTTTCTACAATTTGTGATCTCTAAAGTGGCGTCAATGGGGTGCGCATGTCCATACTGCGTTCTATACTATGTTCGTGCCCTTTTGTTTCCACCCGTCGTGGTAGACAAGCGATGAAGGGAACAATTTATTAGCAGCAGGTGACTGGGTCACTGGAAAAGTTTCGCTGCACCGAAAGAGATGTAACGACTGATTGTCGTAGTTATTTGTTAACCTAACCAGTATCCACACGAACACGTTACGTTGGTATCGATTTTATACATATCTGACCAACGCAAAGAAGCACGACAGACAAGCTAAAGGAACCTCTCCTGTGCTAATTCGGTACGTTTCAAGTCAGCAGTTTCCACCAACAAACCCGATCCCTATCTGTGATGTTGCGTCTTAATAAAATCATGATAATAACGATTGCTGAAACTGAACATCGCAAGACTACCATATAATTATGAGAAATGGTGTAATGCCTAGTTCACACTGAAACATCCGCTTTTTACAGCGACCGAAATTCCCCTGCCGTCGAAACGCAGCGTTGTTCGCACTGGATGCGCCCCACGCCGCCGAATATGCCATCTACCACGGGGCGAACGCGGGATGGATGCGCTGTCATCAGGTTGTTGTCGCGGCTCGCAAACGCTACTACGATATCCGGTGGTGTATACTTCGACGATTCTCGTACGCAAGAAGCAAGAAAAGACAGTATTGCTTACTTTGGTGGCTAGTGGCTGTCTTGTAATGCACGAAGAGCAGAAAAACCAGCGGCGTTGGTGTGTTCGTTTTGCTCTGCAAGACCGCAACAAGCTCGGTCACGCCAACAGAAAGCTCGGTTACCTCTTCCACGAAATACGGACGCGAAGTAGGCAAAGAGTAGGTTAAACTCCCGTTGGTTTCAACATTCAGTTACGTGCACTGCGGCGTAACAAGTGAGTAGGGCTTGGTCGCCATTTTTCAAAATTCCTTGACTAGCACTCCTATTGGTCCGCGGTGACCGATTCGGCGGCAGACGCCGCAAAAATCGGTCCGAGAGCAATCGGCGCGGAGAGGGCCTTTTCGGCGGATCTCGCCGCCGCCGAACCGGATTCGGAGCACTTTCGGCGGCCGGAATGCTCAGTGTGAACGCGGCCTAAGGGAGGGCTAAAGCAATTTCGACCACCTGGCGTTCTTTAACGTGCGCCTAAGTCTATGTACACTGGCCTCAAGCATTTTCGTCTCCATCAAAAATGTGGTCGCCGCAGCCGGGATTCAATCCCGTGACCTGCGGGTCAGCTGCTGAGCGCTTTAGCTCCTACACCCCCGTGGTGGGGCGCAACGTCACAACTTAATCTAGAATCTTCTTTCGTTAGAAAAGAATTCGATCAATAGATACCGTTAGTGTCTTGAATTGCCAATAGATAAGAAAACGTACAAACTCTCGCAGATTCAGCCTCTCATTACCGGATGGTCTAGTCAAATGTGTAGGAGACTCACAACGCTCCGGCTTCGCAGGAGCTGCGCAGTTGAACTGGTGATGAGATCAGTGGCCGAGATCAGGTAGAGGCAGCAAAAAGACACCGCTGGAGTGAGAACGGAAGCATCATCCAGGAAAGCCACGGAAGCGAACAGCAGGATCGTCATCTGGTCGAGGAGAAAAATGCAATTTTATATTTGACATAATTGAACAGGAAAGATTGGGGAACTTGCATAAAACTTGTTGCTTAGCGTATTTACATAGTGCATCACTTAGTGTACAAAACTGAGGACAAGAAAAATCATGCTTTCGCCGCAAAGGCGAAGCAGTGAAATTGATAGCAACATGTTGGATTAATATACGAGGTAAGGCTAGCTCTTAACTCTTTTGAATACAATCATGTGTAACTCTACAAAACGTGGGCATAAGGGAATACGGCCGCTCCAGGGAGAGAAGGCGTTCTCGTGCTTTATGTCATGTCAACGCGATGTAAAACGGCCAAGAATGGGCGCGTTTATGCAAAGGTGCTCTGGGCAATAAAGCCGCCCTGTTTTTCACCCTTACAACGAAGAGGCTTCCTTTATTCTACATTTTATGGCGCCGAAAAACCCGGGATTTTCGACACGAGCGACCCGACAACGAAAGGGCTTCCACACCAGCGAAGATGGATCGGATCAAGGGCAAACGAGTGACCCAACGAGCTTCGCATACGCGTCTACGTAACTGGGCCAGCCAACTCCTTGAATCCAGCCAGTTTTGCACCCCGGTGCTTTGAGTTCTGCGCAACCGACTGAATAACTGCAACGATGGACTACGCGTGCTCAACGAACAACTGGAGGGACTACTCACGCACGAGCAAGCAGCTGAGCACTACATATCAGTCTTGGAGTATGAAGACAATACAACAGCAACGCTGTCCCTTCTTTCGTATCACATCGAGCAACAGTCTGAAACGAAGGTGGACCGAGGCCTACCAATGCCCAACGAGAATGCGACTTTTGATACAACTTCGAGAATTTGCTCCATCTGTGATACTTCAAGACTACCGAAGCTTGACTTGATTCACTTTAACGGAGCAGTGCTAATGTGGCAGCCGTTCTGAAACGTGTTCAAGCAAGTCGTTCATACAAACACCGGCCTGACGAACGTCGACAGATTTTACTACCTGAAATTCCTTTTGGTTGAACCAGCGGCCAAACCGATCGAAGGAGTTCAGGTGACGGACTCTTCATATGCAGGTGTCATCGAAATTCTGACCAACCACTTCGGCAACACGAGAATCAACGAGCATAAGTACTTGGAGACCCTCAGAACGTTCTAGCCCGTACGACGTTCCACTGACGTGACCGCCATGAGAAATATCCAAGACACTGTGGCCATAAACGTGACAGGTCTCAAGGCTCTTGGACGATCGGAGCTTTCAGACGCTGCGATGCTTCTTGAGATTATGACCAAGGTGATCCCCAATGACATCGTGGGGGCACACTACAAACGACAGAGTTCACCAGAAAAGGCCCAACATTATTCATTCATCAGAGATGGAGTTGCAACAGCTGTTGAACTATCCACGACTACAGGCAGAAGACCGTGAGAAAAGCGTGCAACACCAGTCCAGTGTTCGTGACCCACCTGAAAGAAGGCGTGACAGCAGGCCCTGCGTGACGTCTACCACTTCCGTCTTGCACCACGAAAGCAAGATGATAGCGATGAATGCCAAAACAACATCACAGCTCCGAATGAGACAGCCCAGATCATGACCGAATGAGAATGCTGATGCTTTCAGGGTGAACGAAGGCAAGACAAAAAAACTGAGAAAAATCTTCAAAAGGGGCGGCAGGAAAACATCGTGGAATAGTCAGCATAGCGGATGTTTGTGGCAACAGAAACCGATCATCGAAAGCACAAGTTTACCGAAGGTGATGCATTCAGAAACAAGAGCTTGGCGCAAGCCTCAGAAGTATCCATGGAGGAGCAGGCGCAGGAGGAAACCCAGATCCTCACGGAGTGAATGACCTAGAACTGGTACAAGTAGTCATGAACGACCAACATGTGCTTAGAACGTGGGTGCATGAGAGTTCTTCATTGTCAGGCGTGACTTTTAAAAATGGCATAATTCGGTCATGCAAACTAAGAGAGCCGAATGACGCTCAGCTGTTCAGGCCTGCACAAAAACTGTACCCTTCAGAAATCGCCACCTCAGGTCCCGGAATGTGTTAAAATATTAGAAGTAGAGAGGGACGATGATGGGACGAGTGCGTGGAGCGTGCGGTGCGGGTCTAAACTGAGCGGGAACGGCCGAGAAGGGACACATTTATGCGAAGGTGCTTTGGGCAATAAAGTCGCTCTGTTTTTCATTCTTACTACGAGGAGGCTCCCGTTATTCTACACTAGAGTTCACGAGGCGCCCTCCACCCCAATGACGGCTCTTTATGCTCCTTCGCCCGATGATTGACAAGTGGGGCGTTTCCTCTGTGCTTTATAAGCCATCGATGACAGGCCTTGCAGCCTTGGTGCTGCTATCGCATGCTGCGACAAGGCTCCCGTTCTGAGTGTTGAAACATCTTATTACATTTTTTATTTTCGTGTTGTTGTCGGTGTCTTCGTCGTTTTATTCGATGATCCTTCAGTGCGATGGAGATGGCTCGCTCTAGAAATTAAGAGTGCCCGCCGCGTTCATCCACAGCGCTTATGCACATTGATTCGAGCGTAAAACACACGATGCGTATAGGTGATGTTATCTATTTGCACTTTATATGAAACACGACGGTGACGGCAGAAACCTCCTGAGAGTGTCCACATAATTGCTATCACTGTAAAAACGCTGTCACACGACACGCAGAGCGATATTATAGTCATATTCTTATAAATTACGTGCAAGAGTGATCAAAAGTTCCCGAGCCATGCTGTCGTAGGTTTAGGTGCGACGTTCGCCTGGGCACTTTTGACCACCCTTGTATGTTAGGAATCTCTGTAAGAGTAAGTTTTCGTGAATCTTAGAGATGGATATCCAAAAGCCAAGATAGCTGACCAATGACAAAGAGCGTTCGCGAAGGGAAAACTTTGCTTCAGCGCCAGGTGGATAAAATAATAGAAAAACTATGTACATATAAACACACATATAGGAACGATCATTGTTAATGTCTCCCAGTAATCATAACTATATTCACAGCTGCATATGCAAACTGAAATCTAGTTAATGTTATGTAATGGATAAATAAACAGTAGTGTATGATACATAGAGCGTAAGCACGCGATGAAAACACAAGACGAGGTTTTAAAGCGCCATGAGCATAAATTTTCATTCGCCCTAATCAACTATCACTTTTCAAACAATATTTTATATCATTAGCGCCTGACTCATATGTTGTCTGTGATAGTAGTTACAAAGAGGACTTTTCTATCTGCGAGGATACGGGAACAGTTTACGTGCAGTAGGCCATCAGACGTACCAGTGAGGCCGAGGAGGTGTAAATTGAGTCGATGAGTCCGTCGAGCACATTGACCTTGTGGCTGGCCTCTTCCTCCTTGGCTCGCAGTCGGCTGATGGCTGACGAGAAGGCCTCTTCCCACGCGTACATCTTCACCAGCCGCACCGAACTAAGAAGGTCGGACGTCTGTTTGAGCCGCTCGTCGCGGAGGCTCAGCACGTTGTCCTGCACGTGCACACCAACAGATGTGTGCAGCGAACGTGTGTAACAGCGTGAGATCAACGCGGCTTCGAAGTGCGCTGCCATGTTTCGATGCTCGTGGCTGCAGAATAATTTGCTTTTTGGTATGAACTGAATGAAGCGAAGTGAAGTAATTATTAATTAATTAATTAATTAATTAATTAATTAATTAATTAATTATTTACAATTATATTATTATTAATTAATTAATGTTTAGTTCATCTTGAATGCAACTTGAAGAAATTTACAGCCGCAAAAGCAGACCAACACCTTACTGGGGCTTCTGTACCCGCCACGTGGTTAATTATTCATAGAATAGATGATATAACGGCAGTTTGTTAGCCGCGAACAAAAATTGCAAAATACATTATACATGTCACATACAGTGCATCAAGAGCACACTATTTATCTTTCATCCCCATAGTTATTCTGAAACTATTGCTCTTATAACTGCTTCGGTAGAAAAGGCTACAACTGACTGCTCTTTTTGGTGTCCAGCGTATCGTCATTGCTAAGCAAGTGTCCCCCGAAAGCCCATTTTGTAAAGGACATTTTAGAATCGTATACTCAATAAAAAGGGTCGAATAGAAGATCGAAAAAGATTGATGCAATTTTCACCAGGGTGTTGAATCATGTGCCTGCTGCTAATGCATAATAGCAACAGGTTTATATTTGCTATTCTGCATATTTTCGTGTCGAAATTCATTAGTCATCAATAATTACCAGGGGATGCTTTTTTAAAATTTATTGATGGCTGTGGGTTTTCGCAGCACGGCAACTTCAATTCTTTCCCATTTGACTCGAGTGTCTGTCTCTACCAATAAAAAAACATTTGCTAAGTTCTTTATTTAAAGCTGTAATTTTTACACTTGGTCAGCTTAAGAAGCCTACCACTACAAAAAATGGAATCATGAAGGCCACGAACAAATATTTCTCTTTATTTATTTCTGGGGGTTTTCGGACATATTTCTTGTAAACCCTGTATGTAGGGCTCTTGCTTTTGCATTTATTTTCGATTCTTTTTATTATGCAGCTTCGTGAACTGCTATTCTATGTTGATTACGTTTTCACACGCAGCCCATTTCTATATACTATGTCTGGTAGCTTTACTTTTTGCCACTGCAGCTACCATGTACTTTTCTGACCTAAGTGCGAATGTCCGCTATGATTAAATGATTGTCGAGATGGATGTACGTGGTGAATGATGCGTGCGAACAGCGCTCAAATACAGAGAGGTCACCATTTTAGCAGGCCGGCTGTTCTATTCTCTGGTGATTTCGTTTTATCTTCGCTCCAACTGCCCACGCTCCACAGCGCTGGGGACCTTTGCAATTACAATTTTTAGAATAAAGAACGAAAAGTTAGGAGAGTGTGACTTCGCGAATACTGTGGAAGCAGCGAAGCTAGTGTCACCCTTCATGAGGCTCGCCCTCACTCATTCTCGTGCGCATTTAATTGATTAACCCTTTCCCCTGGCCAAGACTCTCCCCCTCTTAAAGCGCCCCTTATTGGTTCACTATGTTCACTAAGCCTCGCACTCGCCCATTTCGGCGGCACTGCGCTGCCCTTCATCTCCAACCGGGTTCCCCTCTCGTACCCTGTCACCGACGCTACGCCAATGGACGGGGAAATTATTTATTTGACTTGCTTACACAGATACATAAGAGAAAACAGATAAGAGAGACAGAGCAAGCTGGCATCTGCATACGGGGAGGGGGGCACAACGCCTGGTTACTCTTTTCAGGAGGAGAGAAGAGAGAGAGGAAGTGAAGATAGAAAGAGAGAGAGAAGCTAGAGGAGGGGGAAGCAAAGAAAAGAAAATCACCTTGAATTAGAGATGCAGAAGTAAATACACCGACACAAAAACGCTTATGTGTGGGTGGCCCGGTTCGTTTGAACCCTAAATGTCGGCAGAGCTCCGTGGGCGTGAGATGCCTCGACTGAGAACCGCCTCGCTACTGAAAAAAACAGGATGCGCACGTGGGCGCAAGCAAAGCGAAGCAAGCAAGCAAGCAAGGTTCGTGGATATTCAGACGCCTTCGTGTCCCCACTCACCCACAGTTGGTCTTGTAGCACGGTAGACGGCCAGATGAGCATCAGTGCCACGGCGGGCCACAGAGCCGTGAAGAGTGCCGCGGCCGCCCCCACTCTGAGGCCGAGGAGGTAGATGATGACGGGCAGCAGGAATGCGCCCGTCATGGGAAGTGGGAACTGGGTGCAGGCGATGCAGATCTGCAGGCAGTCGCCTCCCAGCAAGGCGAGCACGTAGCCCGAGGAGTTGCGAGCAAGGGCACGCGGAGACAGCCGCACCATCTGCGAGGATGAACCAAGTGCGAGGTCTTGCAATACGCGCCATGTGTAATGTTTGGATGAGACAAAATACACTTCTCTTTTATGCATATGAATATACATACTCATAGCTTTTATGCATAAGCTTCTTGTTAGATACACTCGTATACACCAAAAGGATGATGAAACCACGGCACTCGCGCAATCAGGGGCGAAGTGGGGTTGGGTCCATCAACTTGTCTAGGAACATTTTTTTATACTTTTGCATATGTATACCTGTATATATTCTAAAAAGGTATGTAGTTACGCTTTTTACGACGATACCTGTATATACTCTCTCACGTGCACGCATGAACAGTTTGGTAGAACCCACCCTCACTTCCCAAATAGTTTCTGGCTACGCCCCTAAAATCAAGGGAAACTTTTTAGTGTTTAAAATGAAAATGTCACTATCAAATAAAGAAAATTTAATGTTTACGAAAAACAACGTTTACACCACCGGTGGGGATCACAATCGCAACTTTTGTAAAAGGCGTCCGGTGCTCTAATAACTGAGTTACGGCATCACCCAAGGTTTTTTTTTTTTTTCAATTCGAATTTCTACGAGTGTTGCCACGATGCTTAGTAAATAAATAAAGTTATACATATTGCTACATGCATGTATATTGATATTCTAGGGGGCGACGCGCGTGTGTGCCTGACGAGGAAGACGAAGGGTTGTCTCAGCTCGATCGCTGGTGAACGGGGCACGCCATTATCGCTGGTTTGGAATATATTTAATCCCCAGCCTCGTCGTTACGGCGTCTCTTCTTTTCCGTAACATATTTGGTGGAGGTGGAACGTTCCCCGTCTTCACCACGAAGCTTCGCAGTGGCCGCACCATTCAGTCTCCGGCCATGGCTACCTCTGACAACAGCCAGTCAGCGTCTCCATCTGTAACTCCAGCCACTACATACCTGATGATGCCCACCCCCCGTGATCCAGGTACATTCTCCGCACAACCTGGGCTCGACGTCGACTACTGGCTCCGTATGTACGAGCGTGTTAGCCACACACACCTATGGGACCCTACCATGATGCTCGCCAACGTAATATTTTACTTGGACGGCACCCCACGGGTCTGGTTCGACGCCCATGAGACCGAGCTCACCAGCTGGGATACCTTCAAGGAGCGACTACGCGACATCTTTGGGGACCCGTCCGGTCGGCAAATGGAAGCGCGAAAAGAACTCGCCACTCGTGTGCAGTCGTCAACAGAGTCGTATGTCTCGTACATACAGGATGTGCTCGCGTTGTGCCGAAAAGTCGACGAGCAAATGACAGAGAGTGACAAGGTGGGCCACATACTTAAGGGCATAGCGGACGACGCCTTCAATTTGCTCGTCTACAATAACGTCACGACCGTAGATGTGACCATCAAGGAATGCCGTCGCTTCGAAATGGCCAAAAGCCGCCGTGTTCTGCCTCAATTTACGCGGCTACCAAACACGGCTGTTACATCAACTTGCACCGACCTCGGTGCCGCACCACCCATGCAGGACAGCGTGACACGAATAGTTTGACGGGAGCTTGAGGCGTCAAGTCCGGCACCATTTCCTCCACATCCGCTCGACCATGGTGCCGCAGAAACGCCTCCGCCGGTCTCCGTTATTCAAGCCGTCGTGAGGCAGGAAATCGCAAAGCTTGGTTTTCCTGTGGCCTGCTCTGTCTCCCGACCCGTCTCCAGACCAATGACAACCAATGCACCACGCCATGACTTACACTTTATTCCGCGATCCCGCAATCCGGCGAAATGGAGAACTGCAGACGACAAGCCGATCTGCTTCCGCTGCCACCGAGTTGGCCATATCTCCCGCTACTGCCGCAGCATTTGGACGCCCTCAAACTGGAGCCAATTTTCCTCTAATCGACCATACGAGGATTCCCGTTGGTATTCGCCCAGTCGTGTGTACCCTACTTCCGAACTCCCCAACAGCCGCTCCACTGCTCGTTCGCCGCCACCTCAACGTCGCCGTTCCCCATCGCCCCAACCACGCCGCTATCCGTCGCCGGTCAACGGTGGATTTTCTCGGACGGAAAACTAGATCATGCAGCTCCGGGAGGTAGTGCTGCATCGCTTGCGAATGATCCAAATCCTCCATTGACGCTCCCAACCGATACGAACTTGATTGAGGTGTATGTGGACGGTATTTCTTTGACGGCGTTAGTCGATACTGGAGCTCAAGTGTCTATAATGAGTGCTCATCTGTGTCGCCTGCTCAAAAAAGTCCTCACGCCTGCAGCAAAAAGGGAGCAACGCCTGACTGGGGCCCTTGTACCCGCCACGTGGTTAATCATAATACATTATAAATGACAGTTTATTGGCCGTGAACAAAAATTGCAAAACATATTATACATTTATTGTACAATGCATCAAGAACACACAATTTATCTTCCATCCCCAAAGTTATTCTGCTACTATTGCTCTTATAACTGCTCCAGTAGAAAAGGCTACAGCTGACTGCTCCTTTCGGTGTCCAGCGTATCGTCAGTGCTAGGCAAGTGTCCCCCGAAAGCCCATTTTGTAAAGGACATTTTAGAATCGTACACTCAATAAAGAGGGTCGAATAGAAGATCGAAAGAGATTTATGCAACTTTCACCAGGGTGTTGAATCGTGTGCCTGCTGCTAATGCAGAATAGCAACAGGTTTATATTTGCTGTTCTGCATGATTTCGTGCCGAAATTCATTAGTCATCAATAATTACCATGAGCTGCTTTTTTAATTTATTGATGGCTGTTGGTTTTCCCAGCGCGGCAGCTTAAATTTCTTCCCATTTGACTCGAGTGTCTGTCTATACCAATAAAAAAAAACATTTTCTAAGTTATTTATTTAAAGCTGTAGTTTATACACTTGGTCCGCTTAAAAAGCCTACCACTACAAAAAATGGAATCATGAAGACCACGAACAAATATTTCTCTTTATTTATTTGTGGGGGTTTTCGGACATATTTCTTGAAAACCCTGTATGTGGGGCTCTTGCTTTTGCATTTATTTTCAATTGTTTTTATTATGCAGCTTTGTGAACTGCTACTCTATGTTGATTATGTTTTCACACGTAGCCCATTTCTATATACTATGTCTGGTAGCTTTACTTTTTGCCGCTTCAGCTGCCATGTACTTTTTCCGTTCTAATTGCGAATGTCCGCTATGATTGAATGATTGTTGAGATGCATGCAAGTGGTAAATGATGCGTGCGAACAGCGCTCAAATACAGAGAGGTCACCATTTCAGCTGGCCAGCTGTTCTATTCTCTGGTGATTTCTTTTTATCTTAGCTCCAGCTGCCCACGTTCCACAGCCCTGGGGACCTTTGCAATTACAGTTTTTAGAAAAAAGAACGAAAAGTTAGGAGAGTGTGACTTCGCGAATACTGTGGAAGCAGAGAAGCTAGTGTCACCCTTCATGAGGCTCACCCTCACGCATTCTAGTGCGCATTTGATTGGTTAACCCTTTCCCCTGGCCTAGACTCTCCCCCTCTTAAAGCACCCCTTATTAGTTCACTATGTCCACCGAGCCTCGCACTCGCCCATTTCGGCGGCACTGTGCTGCCCTTCATCTCCAACCGGGTCCCCCTCTCGTACCCTGTCACAGACGCTACGCCAACGGACGGGGAATTTATTATTTATTTGACTTGCTTACACAGATACATAAGAGAAAACAGATAAGAAAGACAGAGCAAGCTGGCACCTGCATCGTGGGGGGGGGGGGGGGCACAACGCTTGCTTACTCTTCTCAGGAGGAGAGAAGATAGAGAGGAAGTGAAGATAGAAAGCGAGAAAGAGGCTAGAGGAGGAGGAAGCAAAGAGAAGAAAATGGCCTTGACTTAGAGAAGCAGGAGTAAATACACCGACACAAAAACGCTTATGTGCGGGTGGCCCGGTTCGTTTGATCCCTAAATGTCGGTAGAGCTCGGTGGGCGTTAGATGCCTCGACTGAGAACCGCCTCGCTACTGAAAAAAACAGGGTGCGCACGTGGGCGCAAGCAAAGCAAAGCGAAGCAAGCAAGCAAGGTCCACGCATGTTCAGCCGTCTTCGTGTCCCCGCTCACCCACAGTTGGTCTTGTAGCACGGTAGACGGCCAGATGAGCATCAGTGCCACGGCGGGCCACAGAGCCGTGAAGAGTGACGCCGCTGCCCCCACTCGGAGCCCGAGGAGGTAGATGATGACGGGCAGCAGGAATGCTCCCGTCATGGGAAGCGGGAACTGGGTGCAGGCGATGCAGATCTGCAGGCAGTCGCCTCCCAGCAGGGCGAGCACGTAGCCCGAAGAGTTGCGAGCTAGGGCACGGGGAGACAGCCGCACCATCTGCGAGGACGAACCAAGTGCGAGGTCTTGCAATACGCGCCATGTGTAATGTTTGGATGAGACAAAATACACTTATCTTTTATGCATATGAATATACATACTCATAGCTTTTATGCATACGCTTCTTGTTAGATACACTCGTATAGACCGAAAGGATGATGAAACCACGCACTCGCGCAATCAGGGGCGAAGTGGGGTTGGGTCCATCAACTTGTCTAGGAACATTTTTTTTTACTTTTGCATATGTATACCTGTATATATTCTAAAAAGGTATGAGTCGAGCACTATGCACGACACCGACACCGAGCCTTGCGTCTTTTCCCTTTCGCAAATGACATGCATCAGTGACGAGCAGCGCTATGATGCGTCCTTGCGTGCTATCATTGAGCGCCTCGAATCACCATCTTCCAGTCAGTCCTATCGCTCGTTCGTGCTCCACGATGGTGTATTATACCGCCAAAGTTTTGAGCCGGATGGACCGGCTCTGCTGCTTGTCATTCCGAAACACCTTCGCTCGGAAGTTCTACATGAACTTCATGACCTTCCGACTGCTGGTCACCTTAGTGTGTCACGCACTTACGACCGAATACGCCGACGCTTCTACTGGCCAGGGCTTGCACGCTCAGTCAGAAGGTACGTTGCGGCTTGTGAGAAATGTCAGCGCCGCAAAACGCCATCGACACTTCCCGCCGGACGCCTTAAACCACTTGATATTCCGTCAGAACCGTTCCTCCGCGTTGGCTTGGACCTACTTGGCTCTTTTCCCTTGTCTTCCTCGGGTAACAAGTGGATAGCCGTGGCCACCGACTACGCCACGCGTTATGCCATCACACGAGCTCTCCCAACAAGCTGCGCCACAGATGTCGCCGACTTCCTCCTCAAGGACGTGATTTTGCAACACGGAGCCCCACGGCAGCTGCTTACAGACCGTGGCCGCAGCTTTTTGTCGAAGGTCATAGCCGACATCTTGCAGTCCTGTAAAACGAGACACAAGCTGACTACGTCATACCACCCGCAAACCAATGGACTCACGGAGCGCCTAAATCGAACTCTTACAGACATGCTCGCTAAGTATGTTTCTACCAACCACACCGACTGGGATCTCGCGTTGCCGTACGTCACATTTGCCTACAATTCTTCGCGCCATGACACTGCCGGTTACTCTTCATTTTTTCTGCTGTTTGGCCGAGAACCAACATTGCCTCTAGACACCGTTATACCGTCCCCTGGAGTACCGACCAGTGAATATGCCATAGACGCTATCACTCGGGCCGCTCACGCACGCGAAATCACCCGTACTCGCCTTCTGACCTCTCAAGAGAAGCAACGGCGCTTGTATGACCAACGACACCGCGACGTACACTTTCCACCCGGTTCTTTGGTACTGCTCTGGTCTCCTACCTGTCAAGTTGGCTTTTCAGAAAAACTGCTTACTCGCTACACAGGCCCATACCGAGTCCTTCGTGTGGTTACGCCTGTAACATATGAAATTGGTCCTGCCACCCCGTTGCCTTCATGCGCCCAACAGGCTACCGATATTGTACATGTTGCGCGCTTGAAGCCCTACAACTCTCCTAGTGACGTTGACATCTAAATGCGCCGAGACGGCGCTTGCGCCGCCGGGGGTTATGCTACATGCATGTATATTGATATTCTAGGGGGCGACGCGCGTGTGTGCCTGACGAGGAAGACGAAGGGTTGTCTCAGCTCGATCGCTGGTGAACGGGGCACGCCATTATCGCTGGTTTGGAATATATTTAATCCCCAGCCTCGTCGTTACGGCGTCTCTTCTTTTCCGTAACAATATGAATGCAGCATTTCAATGTGCAGGAAGTATCTTAATGCTCTCTGATTATAAATACCTAGACTCGACGTATTCATGCCACTAAAGGGTGTCGAGACTGCCTTAGCGAGGGCTTCCAGATGTGTCGAATGGTTGGAAGAAGTTTGCGAGGTGGCATACATCAGTTGTCTTATGCCAGGTTCGTACAATCAGGTCCCACTGATGACGCCCTCCTTTTGCGGAAAACCGTAGAACACGGTTTCCATCATGCATACGCTGTCTTCTTCAACTGCTCAAAAAATGCGAATCTTCTTGTGCAACTAACTGTAAACAAATGTGTAAAGAAGACCTTTCGATCTCTGAGAAAATAAACTTTCAAATTAATTCTGAGCAAGAAGCAGAAGCCAGCACCAACCTTTCTGAAGATTGCGCCCAGCAGGAGACAGCGGACGCGGTTTCCCAGGCGGAAGCAGGTGTGCATCTGGTAGCAGGCCAGCAGTGCGTCAGCGATGCAGGCCGCCACGAAGAGCCACGTGGTGACCGTCACTTCTTCGCCGCCCTCCACCAAACGCCTGGGTTTCACGTTGAGACTTCGTTTGTCATTTCAAAGTCGCAGTTTCGTCCGCGAAACGAAACACTGACACCTACATTAATCTACTGATTCAATAAAGCATCATTGTTACAGACAAATGTGAACCCGTCATAGGCGACGGTGGTGACCTCTGGTTGTCCCAATGCTGGCGTGATGAACACTGTAAAAAACCAGAACATCACGTTGCCCATCTCTTCGCTGCGTATCGCCCAGGACGTAAAAGGCAACACGATGCTTTTGAAAAAAAAAAAAACGTTGTCCAATACAAGGCGTGTGGACACAGAGTACATAGAAAGACAAATAACCTTGGCTCGCTAAACCTTTGCAGCCACCGTGGATCGCTTTTTATACTATAAATATTGGGAATAAAAATACACAATTTCCCTGTAAAGGTAACCCTGAGAAGCTTGCGAAGCAGTCACGGAAACCTTCCCTGATAGGTTAATGCGTCCTTGCAAGTGGAACACACCGTGAATGCATTATAACTTCTGTTGCTGTTACTCGTCGCGAACTCGTGGAGCGCGACACACGGGTTCATTGCCACGGCATGCGGAAGAACATGCGTTCATCGCATGTCTTCAGAACCTTGTTTTCCGAAGCCATCACATAATTGCTGAGAAAGTGTGAGGAGGAGAGACTACAGCGTCTTACCCAGCCGCCTTACACAGGCCGGAACGCTCTAAAGGTCTTTAGATGAAACAAGGTAGCGTCACTCATTGATCTCGAGCCGTCCTCCTCACTCTCACGATTACTCCTCTTTTTCTCTGCCATCCGCGTCTGTAATTGGTGCATTACTTGCACGTGATCTTGCAAATGGCTGGTGGTGTTATTTATTATTATGCAAAAGGTTCAAAACCAGTACGCATGCGCATAAGGCTCCAGCCGGATTCTCGCCGTGACCAAAGACAAAATCGTAGCCAGAACGTGAACTGAAGAGAAGGAGCGTTTCGGTGTGCACTAAGTCGACCAAGATTGTTTCGCCATGCTCGTTCAATGCAACATCTGCGTTTTTCAGCAATGCTGCGTTGCCGTAAACAACAGAAAATGGTTTCGCTCTCTTCAACTTACCTCGTGCTTTCCGAGATGAAGCGCACCATGAAGTGCAACTATGAACCATTTCACGCGAATGCTTTCGTGCAACTCCGTCAACGTATGTCGACGTGGATCTTCGAAGCGAGTTCACTTGTCGGTTTTTATTGAAACGCCAGGCGCGCGTCTAATGCGTGTCTAGTGCATGCCAGTTGGTACAAATACATATGGGTATGCACGTATACAGAGCAGCTCTAGGTTGTAATCAGCGCACCTTCAGAAACATTTCACTCTTGACCAGTTCCCGCTTGAGCCGAAACACGCTGCTTCGAGACACCTCACCAGTAGAACTCTCACTTTTCAGGAAGTCCCCAGCACCGCATCAGAATCACTAGGCATCACGATTGTCCAAATGGGCACATTTAAAAAAACGTCATCGCAGTGCTGCTGGACGAGTGTTCGTACCAGTCTGGTCGTAGTTTTTTTTTTCTTGCGTGTGCAAAAGCCGGTTGTAATCAATCGTCACAACGTCAAGCCCTGTGGCCACTTACAGGATCCAGCAAGTAGCACGTTCACTGTGTCACAGCACGAACAAAACACAATCGAAGAAGTGGACTAGTTAGAACTGGACGAAATACCGCGGCCGTGGAACTAAAATGTACTACGCGAGACGCCATGGCTAGTGGTGTGAAGTATAGAACTGCACAACGTTGCCGGTTGAGTAATGCACAGCCCGCTTGCTCTTGTGTTGTGCCGTTTATGTTCATAAAGGTAACTGTTTATTCTACGTCTTATTTCATTCCATTTTGTTTCATTTACATCTATTCACCGTAGCAACGGAACCCAAACATTCGCTTTTGGATGAAAGTTTTAAACCTTCTAGGGGGCGCTTCAGGAACATAGGCGAAGAGGAAAGGGAAAGGTGTCGCTACCTTGGAAACTTGTTTCATCTAGGGACCTTAAACGCTCTAGCACGTGAGCGCCTTCTGGCGGTGCTTGGGCCAACGGTTGCGCATGCGCAGCGAGAGTGGTCAAGCCGCACGCCGGACTGAACTCCACCATAAGCTGCTTCACATATAATTGTGTTGATTGGTTGGTTGATTGATTGATTGATTGATTGAGACATGTTACGAACACCAATATGTTCAAGCCTCAGCATATTGTACCCTCCTCGTCCCTCTACAGCACGTCACCCACGTGTAAGAACCAATATGCGCTAATTTCAAGCGCAGTACTTTGGATTTCAGTCTTCTACCAGAATACCGCGTAACAAGCGTGACAGGAATTCGGTCACTGCTCCCCGTCCTTTCAGTTGGCGAGATATGAAGTAAATATATGGTCTACGAAAGCGTGTCGGCCAAGCTTGTACTCTACAGACTGAATGCCCTTCGGAGTTACATGCATGATTTCGATGGCCATGCCGTGAGCTTGTCTTCGCTAGCCGAACTGGAGATAGGTTTGACTGACGGGCGTTCTCCGCGGGTTTAACATGACGAAATGATTAAAGGGTCTTACTCAAGAAGAGGCACCTTTCCCAGCACGTTGGCGTAGTAAGTGAATGTGGTCAGCATAGTCCAGAAGAGGTCGTCCCATACGGTTCGCATGACGGCGTAGAAGAGCCGCCACCTCGTCAGCGTCTTCGTGCTGCGGTAATCACAGAGAAAAAAAAAATGCCAGCAAGTGGTCCAATTGACGGACAACGCTATTTGTGAGAACAGAAATCGACTGCATCAAAGGAAGCCTACTTTGAAAGAGAAGACTGCGTTACAGTGTTTTGCATACCTGAGAATGTCACATAGCGATAACTTTTTTACAGGTAGGCCTTTTAAAGCGGACGTTCTGTGAACAGCCTGCCATCTGCCACAGGCTGATCGTGCACACACTCACATTCCTTTTAAATTTGTTTGTTAAAGCTTCAATGGGATCCTAATCAACTGTCGTGTACATTCGGAACGTACGTACTACTTCATTTGTAGTAGCACACAAAACGTATCTGTAAAAAAATACAAGCCAACTATTCAGGTACCTCTAGACATTACTCGGTAAATGTACCCTTCACCATTGGTGACGAAGTCCCTGATCATGCACAAAGTAAAAGCATCGACAATACATTGAATATTGGACTTGCTAGGATGATATCATAATTCATTTTTTGAGCTCAAAGAACGAACGAAAATACATGCGCTTGATTTTTATTCATTAAATATTCCGCTCAGAATAGTGCTCGTTCTCTTGTTACTCTTTTGTATTTATCTTTGTTCATCCACAATAATAATAAAAGATGGTAAAGATGCCCGGACACCATAAACAAGCTCTATGTGGTCTCAATAACTACCTTAATTTCTTGTGTCTGTCTCTTTCGTTCGCCCCGCTTCTGATCATGATTCGACCTTCCAAAAGAGCCACTCTTTACACTCCTCATTGCGTAGAGGAAACGCTGCATTTAGCATTTCATGTATTTAGATTTCATAAAGGAGCACATAACTGGTTCGCAAATGACACCATCTGAACTTTGTCATGCTTGACATGACGCAAGTTCTCGCAGCACACAGATCCTGTGCTGTTCTTCAATCAAGTAAAAAAAAAGTATAGTCAGGTACACTTTAAGAAATCCGGGTAGGCTCCATCTAAATGACCGAAGCGTGGCCGGGAATGGCCCCGTTAATAGCACTGCTCCCGCACTCGACAATGTTATCCGAAGTCGGGGTCCCCGTCAGCTTGGTTCATGACGTCAGCCTGTAGTGCGCGCCCACTGGCGCAGGCTTGTGCGCATTCGGCTTTGACGCCATAATGCCGCATACTTCTGGAGTTGTATTCGAATATAGACCATTTTACGGGTGGATTTGAGTGCCGTCATATTGCGTTGGTAACCTTTCTATTTTACATCCTTAGCAACTGAATGAACAGTGTTACGGTAGACGCATATGCATGAAAAGTGTTGGGATGGGGCATACAATGTCACATGGCCTTGATAATTCACGTCGCAATATACGAAAACAAGAAAAGATCGGCTTAACAGCACAAGGTGGTGGTGCCCTGATGTCTCATAGAAAATAGACTTTAGAAGAGGTGAAAACTTAGGTGCGCAGATACGACTAAGAAGTTTGTGGGAATAATGTAGCCACAGGCAACACGGGAGAGGGTAGATCGACGAGGCATGGAAGAACTATTTACCCTGCAGGGGGCGCATTCAAAATGATGATGATGGTGGTGATAATGATGATGATGATGACAGAAGATAAACGATAAACATGCTCACACTTGCACTCGCGTCAGGCGTGCACACACGTCTCTGGCGAGCGGAGCGCACTGCATTCTTTGACTAGAGATGGGCAGGTCCCTGTAGACGGCCTTTCCCAGAAGGGCCACGTTTTTCAGATGCCTGTTCAGACCCGAAGAAAACACATTTTTTTGTAATAAAACAACATCAACACCTCGTAATTGGCGTGAATGGTAAAACTGCCAGCCACCTGTTTGTAGCAGAAGTCTGCGAGAAAATCCATGTAGATTTCTCAAGAAGAAAGCTTCCTTTTTGTCACGGTGTATTCTTACACCGTGGTTGTTGTGGACAAATTGATCCTGGTACAGGCAACAAATGAAACCTGCATGAATTTACTCATATACTGCTGCAACAAAGATGTGGTTGTCAGTTTCGACTTCCATAACTTTTTCACCACATTCCGCGTTTTCGCAGAACTCATGGGGGAAAACATCGTATGTGTTTCAAAGGAAGCGCTTCGTGTGATCAGTGTTACACTGCATTCTTGTTATAGTGTAACAAGCTGACTATGCTCAACAATAAAGTTTAAACGAAAGCTACCGTTATCATGGTTCGATTTGTGCTAACGCTCACGTTCGTTATTATATCTAGAAAAAATTGACGGACTGAGCGTATTGCCTGTTTAGAATAATAACACCTGTAAAATCAGGGGGATGCGATGCCGGACTATATGGATATTTACCGACTCAGTTCAGTAATGAATGCATGCGAGAGCGTTTGTGTTGCGTCACGCCTAGCTAAGCTGCAGCTGTCTGCAGGCTTAAGGCAGATAAGTTCGATATCTCGGACAATTATAATAAGCATCTACGTTCAATGTCATCGTCACACTCACGCGCATAAGTTCTCCTTCCCTGGTTTACTCTCTTATTTTTATTGCCGTCCTTATATTATGTGAACGCACAGTAAACCAACCATCGGCAGTCAGCACACGTTCACGTTCTTGTCTCACATGTTTCGGTGAACCATAAGTGCCTTTTATTCTAATGAAAACTATGCTGTCTGAAACTCTAGGGCATTTCACTCAGGCAGATACTTTCATGTAGAACATATTTGCGTTCTTACGGTAAGGTCTCTCATTTCTGTGCTTCACTTCGCAATGATGACATCTTAAATTGTTATTTTATAACGATAAGGAAAAAAGACGCTACACAGCTTGAGCAAACGCCATCTGCGACACATGTCAGCCTGCACACGTGTTTGGAGAGGAGCAGGTACAAAGCACACGCGCTAAGGAAAACATTAAAACGTTGAAAGAGGCAACTCCGCTTGTCGAAACGTCAGATCCTCGTGTTCACGAATTCTTCGTCTTTACGCGTTAAAAGAGCTCAAGCACTATATTTAGTGTATACTTCTTAATGTTTCTATTGAAAGTTAGTTTCTTAGTAGTGCACATCGTCTTCAACGAACAGCCGTAGCCCTTACCTGAACAGTACCGAACATACGAAGACGCCCATCGGTGATCTTGTGTCCTCGTTCATCGACTTCTGAAGCTGAAGGAAATGAGATCGTCGTTAAATAAAATACTTAATCTGTATAGCAAGGCAGCTAGATAGTCTAGTACGTTTCTCGGGCTACCTAGCACAGGGCGTGCGCTCTTGTCGCTTAAGTTTATTCAGTTCCTGCAAATTATATGAATTCATAACTAGGATAAGGTCGTCTTAGTTATTTTATTATCTGGCGTTTTGTAGGTTTTGTACGTTGGCCTATGGCTCGACATATTTATGTTTTCACTTGGCTTTCATTGTCAAGCACAGCAAATAAATAAAACGTGCGCTATAGCACAGCTTAACAACTTTCTCACTAAGCTCAATATATTTTTTCATCAGCTCCCACTCGCAGCTAGCCGGTCGTGCTGTCGTAAGCCTGCGAGAACCCAACCACTGAGATGCTTCGAAGAGAGCAGATTTGGAATAGAGTCGTTCAATACTTTCACTCATGTGATAAAATTCGGTTAAGTCTATCGTGCTGCGTGCTGTGGCATGTATAGAGTAACTATCTCGTAAATGTTTAGTTAGCCCTTCACTACAGCCACTACTTCAGCGACGTCATACACTGCTGCCTATGCTTGGTTACCTGACAGCTAACAAGTTAATGCGTTGCATATTTGTTTTACTTAGAAGTTAAAAAAGCTTTTGATTGCAAAGGAAGACCAAGAAGAAAGTCAACTACATGCCCACCTGGCTTGCTACCATACACTGGGGAAGAGTATGAGTATGGAGGGGATTAAAAGCAAAAAAAGAAGAGGGAATATGGCGCTACCAGATTCGGGGGGGGGGGGGTACTGCACGCCCGGAAGTGAGGACTTAGCCTGGTCGATCATAAAAGCGACATAGAAGCTCGCGATCGCTTTGCTGGCCTGCGATGTGTAAGGGCGCAAGGAACAAGCTATATGTGCTGTGAGAGCTGTTCTTCACGCTGACCAGTTAAGACTGCTTTGACAAATGAGCCTAACAAACTAAACCCACATTCGGAACGGGCACTGCAGGTGTGCCCATGGGACAGCACAACAGAGCCAGGGACCTCACGTTCAGCACCACCGTTACGCAACGAGCTGCCACATGCAGTGCCATAAGCATTATGGGATGACAAAAAATAATTTAAGTGCGAGACACTGGTTCTGGTTACGCCATAGACAACCACTTTTATTGGTTGGCTCTCCATGGTTTTGTTTGGTGCGGGGGTCGTAATCCTAACCAGCAGGCACCACGCCCTGGCCGAGATGGGCAGCGTCAGAGGAGCCTGGCATGCCGAGGTTAACGATGGCGCTCCCCTCCAGTTTTACTCCTTCCTCTATGTAGGGTAATGACGTGCTAATGATCGCCATATTGTTTGGCAGGTCACACACTGAAAACTTGCTTTTTATGTAGATGTCCTTGTCTTCTATAGACTTGTGAACAGCGTTAGGGACGTCGTGTTTATACTCCCCATGTCATTGGTGTAAATAATGAGGGGTCAGGGGCGTCAGAACACTCCTTGCAAGTGTACTCAATCCTCCCTAGATTTAGCTTTAGAACTATGTGGTAGTTTTGGGATGTTACACCCCACAAATCAAATCAATCATTAGCTTTAGAAAATCATATACTTTTATTATTTGACAGCTAGTGTAGCGCATTAAACTTTTTTAAAATGCTGGTCATTTCTCGGCGTGTATTTCTGTTCATTACTGCTCAGATGGGTGAGACCAAGGAACTAGCGAAAGCCGCTGTGCCACTTCAAATAATATTCAATAGAAAAATGTCATTGCGCAAGCTCGGACCCCATGCTCGTTTTTTTATTTTATTTCAGAGCATTGTTTGATATTCATATAAGCAAAAAATACGATCTATGCTTAAGAAACGAGATGGTCGCCATGGTCTGACTTGTGTCCCCCGTTGTGATTTTTCTGGATTCACGCTTCTGTGTCATATGGACGCGGCGTGACGAAACTGCGGTGCGCTGGAGGCCTTTGTCAACGCATTCTGTTTCAAATGATACAGAGAACTACGCGTCATTGTTCGTACCGTGCCCCTGGGCTTGTTGTAGTAGACCTTGCATCGCACTCCCATAATGCAGAAGGCGCCCAAGAAGAACACCATCGACACTGCGTCCGTCACCATTAAAGGTGCAGCGTAGCTGGCGTCGGAGAAGACGATGCCGTGGTGCTGCGCATAATGGAAATTTCGAACTTCGTGAACCAAACAATAATAATGCCCACATTGCATGCTGCGTACACAGGAACAAGAAAGAAGATTAAGGAGGAGAAAAAAAGAGGTCGGCCTCGATAGCGGGTTTTTAGCGTGCTACTTCTCACGGGGGTAGGAGGGAAAAAAAGAGTAAAAGAAAGGTATGATGAGACGAGACTATGGTGTAGCACAATGAGCCACTGCACATACTGGCTTGCGCGGGGACAGGACACAAGTGAAAGCTCATGTGCCGCAGCAAATACACACTAACCGTGCATCTAAACCTGTCCGACTTGGAAAACTTTAATATACACTGCAAACTTTTTGTGCGTGGTCTACATATTTCTGAGCAGCCAAAAGCTCCTCCGAAAAGGGGCAAGAGTACGGACGATCTGTGACGCACTTGTGACTGCTGAAATGACGGGCACTAAAGCAACGGGCCAAGGTAAACGACAAGTTACACGAGCGACGCTGTCGTCTGAAAACAGGAATGCTCTAATTCTAAGCGAATAGTTCGTGACTTAGTGTAATCAAAGCCTCAAGATCTTCCAGTTACTCGCTGCCCTCATAATAAACGTATTAATCATGCTATGAAGGACAGCGAATTTGTAGTAAGGGCTGTGCGAACTGAAAGACTGGCAGGAAAAAGGACCCTGATTCAGAACACGTTATTTAAGAAAAACCGAACAAAGTAACGATATCACACAGCAGTGTCAAACGGCCATAAAATAATTAGTGTACCGTTCGTTACTTGTGACTTGGTATATTGTCGTAACTTACACTGCGCTGCAATGGTCTATTTCAATAATCATTAACGCCTACGAGTACTGGTGACGCGACCAAGTTGGTCGCATATCAACGGGTCGCAAATGGCCACAAGCGGCTGTTTTTTCCGCGAAGCGACGGTCTTGGCCAGTTGCTCGCTGCTTGATTTTTTCAGTGACTCGTCTGTGCTGGCACGCTTCCCAACAAATCACACGTGCGAGAAGAGAACGTAAGCTTATTATGCAACGACATCGCAAGTCATACCGAGAAAATATGCACTCTGTGCGTGGCGCACGCTGGTATAAACACATCGGTCACGAATCGCATATGTGGTAGCGCAACCCGGGCATGCCGTAGGCATGTTCAGGAAATACGGCGTTCGTAGAGCGTCACCGAACCAGGAACTTCTGATGTGCCGTGACGTTCGCATTGCTAGCGCCGATATTTTCTACAAGAGCGCACGCTGTTCTGCCATCAGCACTTCCTCGGCATCATGCCCTAGCCTACATGATCCGGCATGGTTGTTCGACGCCAGCGCTTTTTTCACGTTGTTTTGCGCAGTGATATACGTGTGCCGTGATGTTTCACTTGTCGAGTAATTTCGTCTTTAGTACAGAAGCGGTGCAAATCTTTACACTATCTGCTAGTGTTTCCACATCCCACAAAGAAGGAAGGAACAGGAAGGAAAGGTAAGGCAGGCATGTTGACCAGTCTAAGATGACTGGTATGCTACACGGGGGAAAGGCGTGGGAGAAATTCAAAGATGGAGAAAGAGAGAGAGAGAGGAAGGAGAGAGCATCCACATAAAGTCGCACTTCACAGTCACCATACCACAGTCTACGTTTATATTCATTGGTGCAGGTCTGTTGCCTTCAGGAAATTGAGCACAACCTTCATCGCCTTCACCCGCGATGTACTCTCAGGTCGGCATTCCAAAATTGTGTCTGCCGTCACCAGTCTCTAATCTATGCCTGCTAGAGCGGCTACTGAAGATGTTTTCTGTGTATCGCACAAAGGGCAGTCGCAGAAGATGTGCTCTAATGTTTTCTTGCTACCATGCTACCACAGTTGTCGGGTTTTGAGTCATTCCAATCCGAAAAGAGAATGACTTCGTCTTAGCCATAAACGGCAAAGCAGAGTGGCGTCATTTCGGTGTAGTCCAGTGAGTGTGTGAAGACATAAAGTGTTCGAGCAGCGGCAGTGTTGGTTGCGCAGTCTACTTCATGCATTCCTATTGCAGGAAGTGATTTGTTATGTGACCTTTCGAAGTTGGATTGCAGCATCGGTCGTCGATAGTGGTATAGTCTCAACCATGTCACTCTGCAGAGCTGATCGAGCAGCAATGTCCGCATGTTCATTGCCTATCATGCTGCAGTTATTTGGCAGCTTCTGCAACGTCACGTGGTGTACTTTGTCAAACGTAGTATGAAAGAGATGTCTTATCTCTAAGACCAAGTACTCGCATGGCCTGTGCCGCAGGGCTGACAGTTGAGGGTACAGAGCTGTCTTCAAATCCCTGAAAAGTGACCATTGTTGAGACTTTTCGCCATTGAGTAGCTGAAGTGCAACGCGAAGAGCAGAAAGTTCTGCAGCTGTCGAAGTGATGGGGTGTTTTGTCTTAAAACTGGCGATAATAGCCTTAGCTGGAAGTATACCACTGCTCCGGATGAACACTAGATGGTAGTTAATCCGTAGATATAGATATGCATATGATCAGTGTACTTCTCGTGAAGAAGAATAAGAGAGAGCTGCTTCAACACAGATGATTGGAGCTGTGATTTTTGTCTGATTCCCGGTACGTTAAAGTGTACATAAGGTCGAATGCAGCGCCAAGGGGCCATCGCTGGCTTGGACACGGGGCTGAAGCCTGGCGGAAAGTGGGCTGCATAGTTTGAGATCGTCGCATAATACGACTCCCGCAAATGTTGCACAATGGTGGCGATGAGCTCGGGAAAATGTCCGATATGAGCTCTCACGGCATCAACTGCAACGTTTGTATTGGTTGATCTCCTGCTATAAAAATAGTCGCATCAGCCAACGTGCATATTGGCAAGCCAAGGCAAAGTCTGAGAGCCTGAGCATGTACTGCCTGCAGAGCACCAATATTTGTCTCACAAGTATTGGTCAGTATGGGCACACTATTACGCAAAAAGCCGAGAAACAGTAACTTGTACAGTTCCTGCATAGCGTATACCGACATGCCCCATGTTTTTCCACACATAATATTGAGCGATTGGGAGATATCTGTCAGGCGCTGTTTCATTTAAGACACATGCGGGCTCCAACGGAGGTCTCTATATATAATTATACCCAGAAGTTTGGGCATAAGAGATGGACCTTCCTTCTATAGATATGGTACAGTGTGTCATTGGCGTACGTGTGAAGTCCATAGAGATGATTGCGAGATGCGGAGCTTGAGCGCGAGCGTCGCCAATCGCATGCTGTCGTGGTGGACCACTCTACTTTGGAGCTCGCTTTTTTATTGGTCATCGGCGTGGCAGCGTTTCTAGACCAAAACCATAACCCCATTTTCTGCAGCTATTGGAACACTTTATTATTATTATTATTATTATTATTATTATTATTATTATTATTATTATTATTATTATTATTATTATTATTATTATTATTATTATTATTATTATTATTATTATTATTATTATTATTATTCATCTGCCGCAACTAGCTCTATCAGAGCTGGTTCCGAGAAGGGGCGCTAGACAGCAAAGCTTTCCACTACTGAGTGGCGTGCAAAGTAATCGCAATTCGGGTGCCTTGGTTTGCACCCGTGGCACCGCTACGTCACGTTTGCTGCTTCTAACGTGTTCCCGATGCCCTACATACAAGCCTTTTCTTCATTTATTCTCGTGTCTCTTACCTGGTCGACGAAGTACAGCGCCCGGTAGCGGCCTGCGAAGTCTGCCACACTTGCGGTGCTGAGCATTCCCAACACGCCCCAGACGAAGCCGGAGACCGACTGACCGTTGTTGAAGCGGACGAGAGAAATGAAGCCAAGGCCCAACTAGAAGATGGTCGTTAAAGAGACGGGAAATAAATGTGGAGTGTGGTTACATGCGTGAACGGGCACGGCCACACGTGGAGGTAGTTGAGGCGAGAGTTTACAAGCTGCTGCAAAGAAGTGGCTACTTGGGCAGATTGGTATTGCATTTTTTTAGAGAAATATACTTCCTTAGTGCGCAGAGAACATTTCAGAGGGAATATATCGCAGAGTGATAGGACCTATCTTTCTGCATTATATTCCCTCTTAAACGTTCTCTGCGCACTAAGGAAGTATATTTCTCTCAAAAAAATTACAAGCTGCTGTACACAAGTTGCAATATTTTTAAAAAGAAACCAGAAAATTGGTAAGAAATTTTGCGTTAGTGTGCTATACAACAATAGCTGCGGGCGTCGGTGATTAAATAACAACTACCTTAAATAGCCGTTCTTCTTAAATAAGTCAAGTTCTATTTTTTTGCGTTGTTCTTTGCGGTAGTGAAGCATGGATGTTGGGCTGACTTGGCGGTAATGAAGTTACAATAACGAACATGCAGCAATTAAATTACTGCTTGCTTTAATGAGAAACGGGATGAATAACTTGAAGTGAGTCATATTGAGAAAATTACTCATTACTTTCCTTGTTACTAAAATACGGCATGTAAGCTTGTCTTGCGGCATCAAATATTGACCGAAATTGTGAAAAAAAATAAACGAAGACAAGTGAGTCTGAGTTGAGTATCAAGCGGGGAAACGAGGCAGGCTCGCGGAAAAGTCGCGTACGTATCATCTGAACTCCGACCTTTGGGAATGTTTTTGAATAAATTTTGTTAAAAGTAATCTGACAGTAATTTTATTAGTTTTAATAAGCAAGCAGTGTCATTACTAATTTGCTCGGAAGAAAGTTTTTATTTAATAATCACATTTCAACAAATTTTAGAAAGGTGTTTAGTAGTAGTAAAAGAAAAAGAAGAAGAATGCTTTAATTTTATTGAAATGATGAAATGATCTTTAAAAGAAACTGCGATAACATCCGGATTCGTAGCCGATATTGCAGGTTAAGCATACGTTACAGGTAAGGGGCGTTGTGGTTTAATTAGCGAGTACAATCTTTAAACACATAAATCCATGAGAAATCACACATTTAAGTTCGCTCGGGTAATGTTGCCTATAACAATTTACGAGCAATTTCACGATCTCAGAGAAAATCATACAGTCCTCTTATGTGGACGGTCAAAAACGTTTGTACGTCCATTGTGCGTTACTAATCGATTTGTTCCACGCTACATGGCAGAAATGAGCGAGCACCGCTTCTTTTCTCTCAGTGCTGTACAGCGCCTATTGTACTAGTTACACGCTTCACGTGCAAACAAAAAGAAAATACAGCACCTTTAGTTATCACTGCGATCATACAAAAAAGCCTACGTACATTCTTAAGATACGGTTAATTCACATTTGATTACATTAGGTTAATATCATATGTGACTCACTTCTAGCTTCCTATTTCACATTTAGTTTTCAATTATGAACTAGTTATCATCTTTAATCACTTGGCTTGCCCTCATTACCTTCATTCATTTTATTTCACCTTAACTCATATTTCATTCGCCTTCAATTACGTCTTGCGGGTATGCCGGTATGCACCCCATGCAATTTTCTGAACCATTCCTGTCCACGCTAGAACAAAATGAACTTTTTTTGTTATTCATGAGCACTAAAAGGTTTTCACCTGAATAAAAGGTCCACTTGCATTCTCCCTACGACTTGCCAGTCTTCACGGCAACGTTCTATTTCAGCACACCTTTTTTTCAAATTTTGACTGTTTGTCAAGCGAAGCTGCGGTTTTCCGTAAAGAGGTAACCCATACTTGTTTCTACACAATAGTGTTTCATGCCGGAGCCCACTAAAACTTTATTGACGTATTTCCGTCACGGAAGCGACGTGGCGAAAATACGCATGATCAGAAAGCAAAACGTTCCGTCATTGGGAGTCGAATCCGTGACATCTGGGTTGGCGGCAACAGAGCCGGGCGTGCAATCCACTGCGCCATGTTTTTTTTATGATAATTTGAACCCTTAAAAATACGCCTTTTCTATCTACCACTGTCTTCTCGCAGCGCTCTTGGTGAAGTTCACTAATGTGTCATGGCCATGACAACTGCGATTAGTTTCTTCAACGCGTCATTTGTAAGCTTCCGTACCATTCGGCTCGTTTCCAATAGGAGAAGTGCAATTTATTTGCACTTCTCAACACACCCCCCAGGTGGCGACCTTACATGAAGCTTCGGCGTGACTCATGTCATCCATCAATACCCATCATAGCTCGGCGACCTCTGGAATGTGCTTGTTTCACCTAAATGTACTAACTCCACGTTCACCTCTCACACTACACCCGCGAAAACTCGTGGCTGGCCAACAGACGAGACACAAGGCGCATAGCGTTTCCCTCTCATCGGGCTGTGGCGTTCAATAACTTCAACATGCCGCAATTACGACCTTAGCCCAAGTTCAGCACCCAGTCAGTCGCGTTCAACATTCTGGCGTCACATTGCTCTCTTCGGTTCCGCACTCACCCCGTATGACCAGAAGAGTTTGTTTAAACATTATTGATGGATGTCATACGTCGGCACAGAGATGTATGACTAAGTTAATGTGGATGCATCCACGTTAAGCGGCGTCACAGTTGTCAAACACCAATAGACATTGCGCAAGCTATCTTATATGAATGCACTGTAAACATAATTATAACTACTCATCTTAGGATATATATATATATATATATATATATATATATATATATATATATATATACACGACCCAGTAACAATGCCAGAATTACCCGCTCGTTTCCGGCGGCTCTCCGTCGCTCCTTTCTAGTTCCTCTCCTTCGCTTCTTGTTGTCTGTTGCTACCTCGTTCGCCCGCTTGTCTCGTTTTTTTTTTTTTTGAGGGTCTTCAAACTGTGAGGGTGACCCTCTGCTACGGGAACTTGTACCAATTCATTTACAGTCTCCGAAGAAGGCTGGTCCACCAGCCCAAACTGTTAGGATTAAATAAATATTTTATTGTTTTTTCCTATACTCCACTATTCTCGAAGTTTATATATATATATATATATATATATATATATATATATATATATATATATATATATAAATCACCAGAAGAAGCGAACGAGCAAACGAAAAACGATGCTTTATTGCCAACGTTACGGCCGGGAACCGGCCTTCGTCAGGGCATACGTCAGGGCATATATATATATATATATATATATATGTGCGTGTGTGTGTGTGTGTGTGTGTGTGTTTTACTTTCGTGCTTTAACCGTTATGAAGGAGGGATCAAACATCTTTTTTTCCTCCTGGAATTCGTTCCTACTCCGAAGTTTGGGGCACAGCGCTAGCATCAAATCCAGCTTATATTCTAATAATTGTACAGAGCTTGACAATGAACACGCAATAAGGAGCCACAGATATGCACAGGGTACCCCTTCAGGGTGAAGGGCGAAAGTTCGTCACAGCGCACCCCTCCCTATTATGTCATAGTACGGGGCCGACTTGGCGACCTCCCTTTTCCCCCGAGCCACGGCACCACCCCTCCTTATTGTGTCAATACACTGTGCCCTTTTGGAGATGTTAAGAAGGGTTGCCACCCCATTTGCCCCTCTTGTGCGGCACGCCTATGCTCGGAGCACTGGTAGTGATGGTGAGATCGCTTATCCGCTAGAAAACTCTTCAGCACGTGGTTGTTGGTGGCTCAATTGGAGCTCTGTTCGCCATGGATTCAAAACGCTGCGCCATGGATTCGAAACGACCAGAGCTGTCAAGCTTGAAAGCGAGGTGTTTATTCGAAGGAAATAAGGTGTTGAGGCTTTTATGGCTGGGACCCTACGTCCAGAGCTGCACTGGCCTTAGCCACTCACCGGACTGGGTCTACGAGCGTCAGCTGCACTTCCCGGACCCGAGCTTATGAGTTGTGCCTCCCACTACTCCACACTTTAGACGTTATAGGTTTGCGGAGAATATTGGCAAAGTCTCTAGTTTCAAAGTCGCACCCCCTCGATGCTCGAGATGCAGTAAAGAGTCGGCCTACCATCGCACCATGGACACATGGCCGGGTAAGCGTCGGATGTATCGCCGGTAATTTCAGCACATGCGGAAATGAATCCGTGGGAATTTCGCGAGGGTGGGCAGCCTCTTTCCATTGAGGGATCTGTGGGGCGTCCGTCACAAATAATTGCATCCCTGCCGCGGATTCACTGAGAACTACACACTGAAATACTGTTTACCGGATTTGTTCCCCGTGCTTTACGAAGACTCGCACCACCCGTGCCAACCACGAAGCGCTCCGAGTATTGCGGTTCAATCGCCGAGTACTGTACGGTAACATATTGCGATCTTATTGCTGTGACGGGCACGTACCATGGCAGCAGCGGCCGCTATGCCCGACAGGACATCGTGCGTCGAGTGCACAGCGGAACGCGCCGTTCCATCGTCGACGACGGCCACTTGACCACTCCTCGTGAGGGCAGTCACCGTGCACAGGCAGAGGAGCGTCTGCAAGGACAATTGCAAAACGTTGACTACTGGCACACGTTCAACAGCATTCGACTATCATCTTGCTGGTCAAGCCATATGAGTATATTCGCGAATTAAGGTGAATGTCTTAAAGGAGCACTGACACAAAACTTTTGCACTTTTTTTTGCTGTCGTTACTGCAATATGTAGCTCATGACTCACTTATCGTGGCTGTGAACCTTGTTCGCTCGAGTGCGCGGTGGTTATTTAATAAAACGTCCAGTCCCAGTTTCAATTTCAAAGTGCATTGAGTTGGGCAGGAGCAGCTCCGGGGGCACAAAAAACGCAGCTAGCCACGTGATGACGCGAAAGTGTTCCGTGGCATCCACGTCACAACATAGCACACGCTAAGCCTCAGGCGTGAAGGAGGAAAACAAAGGCGGTGCAAGCGCAAGGCGTGCGCCAGCAAGCAGCCAACACAAACTTCTGACGTCGACGTCGCGAAAAGCTTCGCATTTCGTTCAGTCTCACGGCGTGATCATTAAAATTGATTTTGAATATGCACTAGATCATATTTGTCCTTGATATTTCGTATATGTCGTGCATGTCTACACACAAATCTACTACGCTCAATATCTTCCCTTCGAAACTGTGTCAGTGCTCCTTCAAGCATCTGCCGCGAGAAATTCGTGAACAGGGGTTGTGTGCCGGAGCCAACGAGTGGACTTTTCAAGGCTGCAACTCATTTTTCTTAGCGCTTGTGCTTCGAACACTCTCTATCAATCCAAAGACAGGAAGAAAGAGGGAAAGGGTTGAAGGCAATGAGATGCCGTCGTGGCGAATGGGGTCATTCAGAAGGAAAAATGCGCTGTGTGAAGAAAAAAAAAAAGAGGGTGCATGTTGGGTGGTGTACACATAGCTCAGTTATCTTTGTCAAAAAAAGAGGCACCTAGCAATGGTAGGTTGAAATGCTTGGTTAAGTGCTGCGTTGCCAACTGTCGCCTTGATATATGATCTCCAGGATGCTTCCACCGGTAGAAAGAGTGACATTTCATCCGATTTATTTACTAGTTACATCATAACTATTACACGTACTGCTGTCAAGGTCAACAATTATTGTCACCTCAGCTTTCCCAACCATAACTGTTTGTTGGGTTGACTTTAGTTGTGCCGAACAAAGAAGCAAGCCCCTAAAAAAAAACTGGGGGACCTCAAGCTTCGCCTTTAAGAGTTGAATGCGTTAGTGAAATCCGGCCTCTAGTGCGCCTTTCAACAGCTAAGTGCATAATTATTAATACGTTTTCTTACACACACACACACACACACACACACACACACACACACACACACACACGCACACACACACACACACACACGCACCCAGTAGATTGCACCTGCGTGCGCGCGCAAATGGTACATACAGGGTTTTGATCTAAAGCAAGAGTCGCATGGCCTCCTAGATACACGCCGCGCGCTTGCCATCTCGGAGGCCATAAAGAGTCTGACAATGCCGCACAGATGGCAGCACACTATCCAGCATTCGCTGTTTGCTTGATCAACGCCTCTGGAAAGGCACATGTTTTCCGCTAGATGGACCTATTTGTCCATTTTTAGATTAATTGATTGGTTGGTTGATATGTGGGGTTGAACGTCCCAAAACCCCCAAACGATTATGAGAAACGCCGTAATGAAGGGCTCGGGAAATTTTGACCACCTGGGGTTCTTTAACATGCACTGAAATCTGAGCACACGGGCCTACAACATTTCCGCCTCCGTCTGAAATACAGCCGCCGTAGCAGAGATTCTATCCCCTGACCTGCGGGTCAGCAGCCGAGTACCTTAGCCACTAGACCACCGTGGGGGGGGGGGGGGGGGGGGCTGTTCATCTTTAGAGCTGTTTGAAAGTTCCTGTGTGTTTTTAGCGGCGATGGCTGCACTATGGCGGCATTTTTAGATGTAGTTTGGGGCCTCCCAAATGCGCCTACAAATCGACGAATGGGCTCGTTTTCGTCATGACACCTCTGAAACAAAATGCGCTAAAGGGGCCCTGAAACACTTTTTTGAGTAACCATGAAATTAATTCAGTAGAAGATCTTATTGCCTAACGAATTCAATACCGCAAAAATTTTAAGAATCCGTACAGTGCGAGTGGAGTTACAAAGATTTGTCGCATGCTGCAATTGCATTCTTTCTTCTCTCGTCCCGACGAAAGTGCACCCGTGCAAGGAGGGGTTGCAGGGGCAAAGAAAACACATCACCCGTGCCTCCTGATCTTTAGCACTTTTTTCTTCTCTTTTTCTCGTATTTGCGGCTTTTTCAGTGTGATCGCGCGCGCACCCGTGGACAAGTAGCAGCCTCCCGCGGCGATCTCTGTAACAATCTTTTTCACTCACAATGAGCGAGGCCAGTGCCGACGGCGGAATTTCTGCGGCACGAGCTCTCTAACATTTTATATACTTCGTTCACCTACGTGACGTCAGCGCGAAAATCCCTAGAACCAGCTTCCATATTCAGTGCGCTGTAAGTGGTCACAACGACTGGACGCACTCCCCCATCGCTGCCAAGATAACATTAGTTATTTTCCTTGAATGTTTCGGAGCCCCACTGCGGTGGTCTATAGTGGCAAAGGTACCCGGCTGCTGATCCGCAGGTTGCGGAATCGTCCCGGCTACGACGGCTGTATTTCCGATGAAAGCGGAAATGTTTTAGGCCCGTGTACTCAGATTTGGGTGCACGTTAAAGAACCCCAGGTGGTCGAAATTTCTGGAGCACTCCACTACGGCGTCTCTCATAATCATATGGTGGTTTTGGGAAGTAAAACTCCACATATCATATCATATTGGATGTTTCGGAGTATGCCTCCTTATACTGAAGGAATACCACCCATTTCGACGTTTCTGTTATGAACAAGCGGGCCCATAAATTGTATTCTCAGCGTAGATACTTCCAAAAAAGAAAAAAAAAGATTGTCTTTGACGTTCCACTGCAGAATGAAAGTCAGTACACAATAATACTGGAAGCACTAGGTTGGATTCTAGAAATACCACAGTTTTTTTTTTAATTTTGATAAGGTGGCCACTCATCTCCACTCCTTTTTCGCTACGCTCTCTCTAGACTGTGCGGCGTGCATCCATAAATGTTGAATACGTAATGGGCGCGTTTTCTGTGCTCAAATCACTAGCTACTACAAACACGCGTAGGTCGACAAAAACTCTGGAGCTGGCTCAGACTCACTCACGAAATATATTTTGCACTTAGGGCTCACGAGGACTCGGACTCACTAAAAACGTTCTTCAACCGGACTCAATTGTATGCTCGTATTTTATAAAAAAATTTCTCAGCTGGACTACTTAAACTCGAAACTAGATCTGAGTCTGAGTTCGAGTCAGTCGATTCATGAGTTTGTTAGCCTAGAATCAGCTTTTTCGACGATGGTATCATGCTCTTTAGTCCTATATCTCAGGTAATATTTGCTCTTCTTGGTGCCTTTCCAATAGTATTATGGACCACTAGTTATGAATGGTTGCAAACGACTAAAGACATTTTCTTTGAAAGAAATGACAACATAAGCTAGGTTTATCAAGAATTTCAATGAACGAGTTGGCGGGGAGAGGTCAAGGCAACCCCTACGTAATTCACGCCTCTGATCAATAAGTATTCAAATGCTTTATAAATGATACTACTTTAGAATATATGTGAGCATAAGTGATAGTAATGCTAGAATAAATAGTAATGAGTAGATTGAGTCATAGGTCAGCAAAAAAGTCGAGACTGCTCAGTGTCACAAAACGAGCGCTCAAAAAGGGCGCGCCGCCAAATTCTCGCGATAACGCGCGGGAGAGACACCACGAGGCCAACGATAAAAAAAAAGAAAACAAACATCCAGACTCCCCGGGCGCGCAACTCTCTCCCTCGGAAGCGTGGGTTCGCCGACGAACCTCCTCACCCCACATCGGCAGCCGAGCAAGCACTCGAAATTTCTAGATGGAAAGGGGCGTGGTGATGCCGGGTTGAGTCATCCGTCACGGACGGACCCCGTACCGTCTCGCGCTTTCCCCCAGCCTTCCCTGCGCATGGCGCCGACGAAATGATGAGAATTTTCTGGAATCGCGCGCGGAAGGTATTTAACCGAGCAGCGGAGATGAGAGATCAGGAGAAGACGGAAGTTAGCGCCAGAGCGCGTAGGGATTCCGCCGTGTAGTCGGCGAAGGTTTTGTCCGTAGAGACAAAGCAGGAGAAGAAGATGATTTCCACCTGAGGGGTGACAACTCGAGCTACAGGCAAAAGTGTGTGTTTACCGCTATCGAGCGAAGACGCGTGGCAACAGCTGCGTGTGTGAAGCCGACGTGTTTCCGGCGAAGAAGTTTGAAGCTTGGAGAGTGGCCTATTGAAGACGTGAGGTTTCCTGGAAGAGAAACTTCGGTGAGGTTTCCTGGAAGAGAAACTTCGGGGGCAGCAGAACGACAACAACGCTGGACTTTGAATGAGTGATTCTCGGAAGAGTATCATCCAGACTTTTGTTCCAAGAACTTTGGACTGAATAGGTTTTCTATGTCTTCAGCCTTTAAGCGTCTTGGTTGTTCAATGCATGCGACTGCATTGTAGTGCGCATTGTTGTCAGTGTCCATTGTTTCGAGTGTGGCTGATTGTACTGTGTAGTATGTTGATTGATTGGTGACATATTGTATGCAACTATTGTGGAGTGTGCATTCTTGTGTATTCTTTTCGATCTGCCATTATTGAGAATATAATTTTGTTTGTTTATCAACTCTCGGCTCTGACTTGTTCTTTGGGCCACAGCCGGCGTCCGCTGGCGTGCCAAAAGGGACCACTTCTAAATTGTCCACGCTTTCGTGGTGCGGTTCGGGGGTTGGAATTAGCCCGGCGATCGCCTCCCTAATTAACGGGACCCTGTGACAATTAATCTGGCGTCCACGACAGGACCTTTTGGTGCACAGTGTGTCCAAAGTAGTGAGAAAGAGCCTCGAGTTGTTGATAGTGCTATCGGAACGATTTTGTGTGTTGCTCTGTGTTCTCGTTAACGAGTGCAGGGGAGTGTTCCGATAGACTGATTTAGGCAGATACTTTTTACACGCGGCAAGACTTTATTTGTGAGACACCATGGATCTCGAAAAGTCAGTTGCTCTTGGTGAGAAGATGGGTCTTTCTGGCGCCGAACTACGGAATGGGTAAGCCAGAAGGAGAAAGAGGCGGTGGAGAGAGAGATGTTGGCAGCTGGGAGAGCCAAGGACGAAAAAGCAGCTGAGTTGGAGAGAGAGAGAGGTTGGTAGCTGAGAGAGCCAAGGAAGAAAAAGCAGCTGAGTTGAAACGAGAGAGGTTGGCAGCTGAGAGAGCCAAGGAAGAAAAAGCAGCTGAGTTGGAACGAGAGAGGTTGGCAGGTGAAATGGCGAAAGAAGAAAAAGAGGCAAAGGAGCGACAGTTGAGAGAAGAAAGAGAGCAGCAATTGAAGTTGGAGTTGGAGATAGAAAAGCTGGCAGCTGAAAGGGCGAAAGAAGAAAGAGAGGCAAAGGAGCGACAGCTGAAAGAAGAAAGAGAGCAGCAATTGAAGTTGGAGCTGGAGAGAGAAAAGTTGGCAGCCGAAAGGGCGAGAGAAGAAAGAGAACAGCAATTGAAGTTGGAGCTGGAGAGAGAAAGACTGGCAGCTGAGAGGGCGAAAGAAGAAAGAGAGGAAAGAGAACGGCAGCGACAGCACGAGATAGAACTCGAGCGGCTCCGTTTGCAACAGCGAAGTGAAACTCCGGTCCAAGCTAGAGTTGAAAGCAGCGAACGGGAGGACCACGGCTTCCACTTGAACCCAAGCAAGCTGCTCGTAGCGTTTGATGAAAGGAAGGACGACCTTGACGCGTACCTTCACAGATTTGAAACGATTGCAAGGAGCCAAAATTGGCCGGAACATCAATGGGCCACTGCTTTGAGTACTTGCTTGAGTGGTGAAGCGCTCGGTCTGTACGGCAGGCTGACGCCGACCGATGCAGCCAACTATGCAAAGGTGAAAGCTGCTTTGCTGAAGCGATTTAGATTTACTGTGGAAGGATTCCAGGACAGATTTCGGACAGGAAAGCCAGCTGATGGGGAGACGGCTACGCAGTATGCCACCCGACTTTGCCATTATTTCGACAGATGGATTGAACTTTCAGGGACAGCGCGGGAGTACGATGAGCTTAGAGAGCTCCTAATTAGAGAACAATTTCTTACTAGTTGCCTCCCAAGCCTGTCGCTGTACTTGAAAGAGAGGAAGGCTGAGTCACTTGAAGGCATGCTCGAATTGGCTGATCAATTTTCGGAAGCGCAAGGTGGAACTAATTTGGCCAGAATCAAGAAGGAGTGTCCTGAAGATTCGAAGAAATCGGCTTCCGAAGAAACGAAGCGTGCACCGGAGAGCATTCCGCGATGTTTTCTGTGTAACCGAGTGGGTCACCATGCTAAAAACTGCCGAACTAACTTCACGAGCCCCACAGTTGTAAAATGTTTCAAGTGTGGTCAGACTGGGCACAAAGCAGACGCATGTCGAAACGGAGCGAGTCAAACTCACCAGGTATCCTGTGTGCTAGCAGCACCGAAATCCGATGATAATGCCGTCACCGACGGATTTGTAGAGTTGAAAAATGGGGAGGAAATCCCAATTGTGGGTGCTGTAATGACAAAACAGCCAACCGGTGTTTCGAAGGGAATGCCAACGCTGCCTGGAAAAGTTGCGGACAAAAAGATTACGGTGTCAAGAGATACCGGCAGCTGCACTGTTATCGTGCGGAGAAATTTGGTACGAGAAAGTGAGTTAACAGGCAAAACGAAACCGGTTTGCCTAATTGACCGTACGGTTCGGATGCTTCCCGAAGCAGAAATTGAAGTTGAAACCCCGTACTTCAGCGGGAAGGTTACTGCTTTATGCATGACGATCCCCCTGTACGACCTTGTCATCGTAAACGGCGGGGCGCGAGGACCGAATGATCCGGAATGTTTGGGAGAAGACCCTAAGATAGAGCCCTCGCCTACCCAGCGACCGCGAGATACAGTGGAGGAGCCGCCCGTGACGGATCTCACTAGAGCCCAAGGTGAAGCCGCGGCGCAAGAGACAGTGAATGAGAAGATGATCGTGTTGAATGAGTTCACGGGCCGAGCAGCTGGACTTACGTCTGCACGACCTCAACCGAGCGACAGTGTAAAGGTGATGGAGTCGGCCAGCCAGGCCAAATGTCGGGACGTGAACAAGCGGGTGAATAACTGGGCAGGATCGGTTGAGCGTCATGACCCGTTAGCAGTGTCGGAAGTGACAACGATGGCTGAGACGCCGCCTCAGATACCGTCGTTGGAAGGGGCTCGCCGAAAAAGAACGTCGAAACACAAGAAGAGGTCGAGCGAGCACCGCAAGAAAGGGCGCAAGCGCCGCTCAAGGTACACCGGATAGGTGCTGAGGTGTAATCGAATTGTGTTTGGCAAGGCTGAGTGCTATATGTTGTGTTAATGTTCTTGTTATCCTGTGTCACAAGTGTCAAAGTGTTTGTGCTGTGACGTGATGTATAGTATCGTACAATTGTTGTAATGAGAGAACTTTGTACATTTCTATTGTTTGGAATATGTGGTGGAGTGTTGTACTCATGTACCTGTGGTTATATTTGATGTGTTGTGAGATTGAACTACAATGTACAATTGTATTGAGTGATCTATTGTGATTGTGACGTGTCATGAGCGACGGACTATGTTACAGTCTTTGAGAGTGTGGGGACTGTTCGCGCTCATTTGTGTGGTTTCGAATATTATGAGATAATATTCATAAAGTGGGGGGCAGTGTCACAAAACGAGCTCTCAAAAAGGGCGCGCCGCCAAATTCTCGCGATAACGCGCGGGAGAGACGCCGCGGGGCCAACAATAAAAAAAGAAAACAAACATACAGACTCCCCGGGCGCGTGACTCTCTCCCTCGGAAGCGTGGGTTCGCTGACGAACCTCCTCACCCCACATCAGCGGCTGAGCAAGCACTCGAAATTTCTAGATGGAAAGGGGCGTGGTGATGCCGGGTTGAGTCATCCGTCGCGGACGGACCCCGTACCGTCTCGCGCTTTCCCCCAGCCTTCCCTGCGCATCGCGCCGACGAAATGATGAGAATTTTCTGGAATCGCGCGCGGAAGGTATTTAACCGAGCAGCGGAGATGAGAGATCAGGAGAAGACGGAAGTTAGCGCCAGAGCGCGTAGGGATTCCGCCATGTAGTCGGCGAAGGTTTTGTCCGTAGAGACAAAGCAAGAGAAGAAGATGATTTCCACCTGAGGGGTGACAACTCGAGCTACAGGCAAGAGTGTGTGTTTACCGCTATCGAGCGAAGACGCGTGGCAACAGCTGCGTGTGTGAAGCCGACGTGTTTCCGGCGAAGAAGTTTGAAGCTTGGAGAGTGGCCTATTGAAGACGTGAGGTTTCCTGGAAAAGAAACTTCGGCGAGGTTTCCTGGAAGAGAAACTTCGGGGGCAGCGGAACGACAACAACGCTGGACTTTGAGTGAGTGGTTCTCGGAAGAGTATCATCCAGACTTTTGTTCCAAGAACTTTGGACTGAATAGGTTTTCTATCTCTTTAGCCTTTAAGTGTCTTGGTTGTTCAATGCATGCGACTGCATTGTAGTGCGTATTGTTGTCAGTATCCGTTGTTTCGAGTGTGGCTGATTGTACTGTGTAGTACGTTGGTTGATTGGTGACATATTGTACTCAACTATTGTGGAGAGTGCATACTCGTGTATGGTTTTCGATCTGCCATTATTAAGAATATAATTTTGTTTGTTTATCAATTCTCGGCTCTGACTTGTTCTTTGGGCCACAGCCGGCGTCCGCTGGCGTGCCAAAAGGGACCACTTCTAAATTGTCAATGCTTTCGTGGTGTGGTTCGGGGGGCCGATACTTCGGCCTTTGGAATTAGCCCGGCGATCGCCTCCCTAATTAATGGGACCCTGTGACACTCAAACTCGCTCAAAACATTTACCTTGCAGTCAGTACTGACCCGTACTCAAACTCACCAAACCATTTTTGATCCGGACTCATTCGGACTGAAACAGACAAAAATATTACTCAACCAGACTCACTCAGATTCACGGCTCAATCTGAGTCTGTGTGAGTCAGTGTGAGTCGATTCACGAGTGAGCTTGCCGACGTACGCAAGCACGACCCAACTTAGTGGTAAGACGGCCTTACCAAGTACGTGATGTCCAGTAACGTGTAACACTTGACCCTTGTGCAGGTCAGAGTCCACTGGTGGAGTTCTGGCCAGCCGAGCAGCAGCGAGGCCAGCGAAATCCATTTGAGCACCACAGAGATGACAACCCTCGGTGAGCTGAAGTGGGCCTGCAAGAACGAGAGAAGAAAAAATTGCAAGGAAAGCGTTCAGCCTAATTTCTTTTCGTAGGGAAGCTGCATACGGCTACATGTTCTAGCTTATTCCTTCCGTAGAGAAAAAAAATGTGTAGAAAAATAATTTTCGGTGCCCCTGACGTATCGAACACTCACCACAACCAAAGCCTCTCTCACAAGTTCCGCACCACTCGGCGGCTATGCGAAAGCGTATCGTTCGGTGGTGCTGGTGGTGATGTTGCACAGGTGGGGTTAGCCTGGCAGACTCGACCGTTCGCTCGGACGCAGAACAAGGGGGAATCAAAGAGTGCCAACGCAGACGGAAGCGCGAGGCCACTGCTGCATAACGTGCAGTCATTGCCGCTGGCTTCGCTCGTTTCAATCTTCACAGTAGTGGGTTTCCACTCCCTTTTTATTGCGCCATCAACATCTTACTTTTGTGATTCTTAAATGAAAAGAAGATAAAAGCGAGCCCCGTAACTCCGTAACTGTCTCTCAGGGGGAGGACCCCTCAACAGTAGCTCACGAAGATGTGGGTAAGGATGGATTAAAAGGATGGGATTAAGTAGTATAGAGATGAGAGAGGGAGGAAGGAGAGAGCGTGGCGCAGGGACAGCGCATCCAGAAGTAAGGAGAAGATAGTAAAGGTGGAAAAGGTCGCAGGAGTCCTAGGACGGGGCACCACTCAGCGAGAGCTCTTGGCGGCGTCAGGAGATGGTGTAGGGCGAGCCAGTCAGCCAGAGCTGGGCTGTCGTCGGAGATTGCGGGGGCACAACCGGTCGGCAAGAAATCCAGCCATGTTCCTTATTAAGTCAAAGTCGATAAGATCGCCGTGCACATCGTGTGTTTTAGCAACAGGTAAAAGCGCGTGAGCGGAGGCGACGAACGCGACATAGGCAGAGATGAAACGAGCCGACCCATGTGAATCGCGCGAATGAAGCATATGTGATAGCATATCACCCGGCGGGTGAAGCATACCCTTGAAGAAAGCGCGACAGCCACCTTGAAAGACCATAAGGCTGTATTCACCCGGTGGACATGATCTCGGACAATTCAGTCACGTGCCAAGTGTCCTCATTCGGATCCCCGCATAACCAGCATTTACACGACAGACCAGGTATTGCGCTACAATCGAGGATTTGCGTATTGCTCCCCGAAGGCCCCAACGATGATTTGGGCTTTCGTTGTTTCACGAATCGCTTATACGTTTCGTGACGTAAAGTACACAATCTGCAGGCTCTCATCGCGATTTCGTCCATCGTGTGAATACAGCTTTAAGAGTCGCTGGAGGGGGTCACTCAGGCTGCAACTGCGAACTTTGATTACAAGGGTTCAGTCGCGATCTCCGGCGCGCGCGCTGTCTCGGCAGGCACCAGCGAAAGGTTCTTATACTTTTGTACGTACTGTGCTCCCAAAGCTAAGAGACTGTGTGAAAACCACCTATCTCCCTGGAGCAGTCGTATTATCTAACTACCAGCAGCTTTGTGGACTTGTGCGAGATCGGATCCAAAAGAGTTAGCTGTCATCATTGCTTTGTGTAACATTACAATTTGTTACTATCGCAGACATTGCTTTGCCCATGTGGTGGAACTGAGCTTTCTTTTTTTAACAACACAGAAAGTTGCACGGCGTTTTCATAAAAAGTAAGTACAAATAATCAAGAAGTAGCGGAAACTGTATGATAAAGACTCACATATTTAATTAAAGCAAAAAAAATGTTGATGTCGTGAAAAAGACGAGTCGATGGTGCTAAATCTGGCACTGCGGAACGGGTGATACAAATCGTGCCTGTCTTCACGTGTCAAACGTAAGCCCGAGAACGACAAAGGTTGGTTTCTGCCTTTGCGCGGAATAATAAAACACCCTTATCAAGGGACCACTATAAAAAACCGTTACCTAGCGATATCAAGTGAGGTCCTTGGAATGGGGCCAACAATGCAGCCGCTTGCTACCGAAATGCAGAGGCGTTTTTATCGGGTCCCAACCTTCATTGTGTTCAATCAGGGGAGAACATTGCTTGCAAATGCCGCCTCCTCTTCCGGAAATTTATATTTGAGAACCTCACATTATATACGCAGGAGCTTATGGTCGAGCTGAATCTGGTGTGCGTGACCACCTTTCCTGGGCATGAAAGCACGATGAAAGCACGTACCCCCCCCCCCCCCATGGCGTGCTTAAACATCAGTTCGTAATGAGATAACAGCAACTAAAAAGTACAGTGAATTCATGGTGTTCTCCATATGCAAAGTACGTGTGCATATTGAGCCTATAATTTCCTTACTTTCTCTTTAAAAATCGAACATTACTGACTGCAGAATAATGACATTGTCTTTTAATTCAGTGGTTCCACCAATGAATAATGCGGTATCAGTTTGTGCTTGTTGCTATTCTGTCGCTTTCGAACGTGTGATCTTTTCGCGGATCCTTTTGATTACACGCAAATTTTCATTGAGATAGCAATTATCTGGACAGTCTCGGCTGGTTTTCTGACGCCACGAACGCCGCCACCGTCATTCATCGTGAAAGTATACGTATGTATATATATTAACACTCAAGAAAGAAAAAGTCACAGCTTTGCCGCAAAGGCGAAGCAATGAACGCGACAGCTACAAATTGGAAGGACACGCGCAGAATGGCAAGTAGATCAAAACGTGCCCCGAATTCTCTCGAACAAATGACGCACAAAGCGTATTCACAGGTACAGATGAACGCGAATAAGCGTTTCAATCGTTCCATCGCTGTGTTCGAAAAGCGCACCTTTTTTGGCAAAGGAAGGCTGTGCAACGATTGCAGTGGCCTTTGGGCACCCGGTAACTACAACAAAATCGTTCCGGTCCAAAGCTAGTCCAAAGTTAGTCCATAAGTTTGAAGCCAGTCAAAACTTATGATCCCCCCCCCCCCCACCGCGAGATAACGGCGTGCAAGTGAGCGTAAACCCACCCCCTCTTCGAGGGGGAAAGTACGCATGGTAGATGAGAGAGTGCACCCCGCCGCGTCGTGACGGTGTGGCGATGCGCACTCATTGCGCCATCTTGCTGGTAATGCCGAAAACACAATAGCACCTCCCCCCCCCCTCTTCTCGAGATGCCAGTCACCAGTGGTAAGTCTTATATAAAAATAGCTTGCCCTTTGAACTTGAAGGACGAGCTCCTAGGTGGCTCAGTGGTTAACCCTCGCACTCACGTCTCGGGGGTTCCGCGATTGATTCCGTGCTACGCCATCTCCTGAAGCCGATCTTCGACGACAGCGTAACTCTGGCCCACTGGGCTTGCCCTACACTATCTCCTGACGCCGACACGAGCTCTCGCCAGTGGCACGCCATCCTCGGACTCCTGCAACCATGTCCATCTTTCCTGTCTTCTCCTTACTTCCATCGTTCGATGTCCCTGCACCTCACTCTCTCCTTGCTCTCTCTCTATCTCTTTACCTTTTAATCATATCCTTTTAATCCCTTCTCTACCCCTTCTCTCGTGAGCTACGGTTGAGGTGTCCTCCCCTGAGAGAGAGCTACGGGGCCACTTTTCTTTTCACTTAAAATAGCTCCCCCCCCCCCCCCGTACGCTGGCGTCTTTCTGCATTGCTTTTCTTCCTTGCGTTTTCATGTGTATAGATACGTATACATATACGGTGAGTGACCACAACGCTGGCGGAAAAATCCAGCCGAAAGTGTCCATATAATTGCTATCGCAATAAAAAGCCGCCAACGCTCGGCACCCAGATCGTCGCGATGAGCCGATGCAAGCTTATCTCCCACGCGTACTTCGCCCCGCAAAGAAGGGGGGGGGGGGAAGGGTTGATGTTTGTGTGCGCGCGCTTATTCTTAGATGGGGTGAAGCATGTGCCATCGGCTTTCACAGGGACGATTCCGTTAACTTTCGGGCCCACAAAGGTAGCTTCGGTTGCTGAATAGGCCCCGTCTGCGAAAAGAGCACTATTTTCATACACAGCGAGGTATAACATGATTGATATGTCGGGTTTAACGTCCCAAAACCACTATATGATTATGAGAGACGCCGTAGTGGAGGGCTCCGGAAATTTAGACTACCTGGGGTTCTTTAACGTGCAGCCAAATCTGAGCACACGGGCCTACAACATTTCCGCCTCCATCGGAAACGCAGCCGCCGCAGCCGGGATTGGAACCCGCGCCCTGCGGGTCAGCAGCCGAGTACAGCGAAGTATAACAATTGGAAGGCTTGTTTGCACTCATCTGTACCTGTGATTATGTTTCGTGCGTAGTTTTTGTTTATACAGCACGTTAAGTGTCGAGGGGTAAAAGTTGTTAGTTCGATCTCGGCCAGTATGTGGTTTTTTCGTGCGTCATTTGTGTGTGAGCAGCGCACTGCACGTTTCGATCTGCTTGCCCTTCTCAGCATTACATTCCAAGTTGTTGCTATCGAATTCACTTCTTCGCCCTTACGGTGAAACTGTGACTTTCAAAGTAGAGCGGAAGCTACTGTGAGATGACAACTCTGGTCACGCGCAGCTGTCCGTGGCTGCCGCCGGTGTCTGTAACCGCATCACGCGAAATTAAAAAAAAAACGTAGCACCAAAGACACAGTGGGGCTCAAACCTGGGTTCACTGAATGCCAGCCCAGTATTCTACCACTGAGCTACGCTGGTGCTTGTTACTTGTTGGCAAATTTGCTTCAGGCAGGCTTGATGTCGGGAAAGCAATCACGTTATTACGACTCGTAAAACCTTTTAAAACGGCGAAAGAATAACCCGTCGTCGCACAATGCGAATACCGTAACGAGTGGGCCGTCCAATGCTTCAACTCATTACAAAAGCGTGTTCTTGTTTCCGTAATAATTGAGGCGCATACCCACTTCAGCCATAATTCGTCATCGTCATCAGCCACCGCATGAACACTTGGCACTAAATTCTTTGCAAGTTTTTAGCGGATACCGCACTTCTCAGAAAAATGACGAAAAATAGCATAGCGAATGCCGGCCTACTACCCAAAAGTTTATTAATGCCCTTGTGGGTATCAAGAA